TTCTTGAAAATCATTCTGCTCGTCCTAGTACTTGGCTACCTGATTACATAAACATCTTTCCGAAAAAAAAATATTTGCCGGCAGCATGGCAGCAGCCCCGACACCTCTGTAGTAAGGTGACAGAAACCAATGACGGTGATTAGCACCGGTGCAGCAGCCGCTGCGGTCCGCAGGGGCGGACATTGCGCGGAGGCAACGGTAGCTACGAGGCTCTGGCGGTAATCAGACGATCCCAATATCGATGAAAAATGACAGGTGATCGCATTTGGATATTTACGGGTTTACGATTTTCCCCAGTGGCGTAGCCAGGTGGGCCGTGAGGCACGTGCCCCCCCCCCCATCAGGTTCGGGCCTCAGGGTCCCCTCGGGTTATTCGGGCCTGAGGGGCCCTGAGGCGCCAATTGGCCGCTAAGGGTCAATGCTGGCCATATTTGGACATAGAAGGGATCCCCGGGGCTCGTAAAAACCCCTCATGGGCCCACAAGTACCAACACTAAGATCTCCACAAGGGCCCCAAGCCAGTCTTTGAGGGCCACTTGGCGGCCTCTGAGGGCCCCTTACCGGCTTCGGAGGGCCACATGTCGGACTATGGGGGTCTTAACCGGCCTATTCCCAGCCAGCAAATTTGGTCCTGGCCGTAGCTGGTCTTACTCTGGCTAGCTCCGGCATTTGCTCCGGCTAAAGTATGGGCAAGGTCTGGGGCCCTACGGGAGCTGACACACGATACCGGAGCTCGCCCGCATCACAGCCGGACTTATGCCGCATCAGCCGTGCCGTACCTCCACCGTACTTCAGCCACAGTAAGCCAGAGCAGCTATGAGGTGCAGCCGGACCTGGTCGTAGGGAGCCGGACTTGAGCCATGGCAGGGAGTCTGACTTGAGCCAGACTTGGCGGTTCGGAACCATAACAACCCGGGAGCGCTACGGCATATACTGGCTAGCCGGAATAGAGCCGTATCGACCCAAACCCCGGATCTGACGGCGATACCCTCGTCAGTTACCAGCGACCCTGACGGTCCCACACAGGTGACTCGGAGGGTCACAGCGGCGTCTGAGAGCACCATGTCCGGTCTCTGAGAACCCCACAAGGCTCCTGAAGGCACCGGTGACCTCTTGATATCTTCTTGTCGGCCTATGAAGGTTCCGTTCCGTAACAGCAGTTCTGAGGGCCACACGCGCGCCTGTGATGGCCCTAAACCAGTGTCTCTGAGTCTCTGAGAGCCCCCACAACGGCGCCTGTGAGGGCCATCACCGGCAACTGTGGAGCACCTACACCGGCGCCTCCGAGGGCCATACATTGCATTGCCATATCTGAGGGCCCCGCACTAGTGCCTCTTAAGGCCCTATATCGGCGGCTCTGAGGGCCAAACACCGTCGCTTCTGAAGGCCCCACAAGCAGGGATGCGGAGCCAGAGCCGGAGCCGGAGCTGGAGCCGGAGCCGCCGGAGCCGGTATATTTTGCCCGGAGCCGGAGCCGGAGCCGGAGCCGTGAAACAACACAGCCCGGAGCCGGAGCCGGAGCCGGAGCCGTCAAAAAAGGGGCGATCCGGCTCCGAGGAAAAAAAAAATATTGACCTAACTCGGTTTGACAGTACAAAGCAGTAAAACATGTGGTATTCCAAATATCCTTGTTATGCAAATGCAGAAACAACGTGTGTCAATCCAATCGCCTTTTTTCTTCCCCCGTATTTAATTAATCGCATAGGGAATGTACTGAGTAGGAGCCGGAGCCGGAGCCGGAGCCGCCGGAGCCGGACCATTTTACTCGGAGCCGGAGCCGGAGCCGGAGCCGTATTGACATTTCACCCGGAGCCGGAGCCGGAGCTGGAACCGATTTTTTTCTCCGGAGCCGGAGCCGTCTGAAATTTCCACGGCTCCGCATCCCTGCCCACAAGTGCACATATGACGGCCACCCACCGGTGACATTTGAAGGCCCCACACCGGCGACTCTGAGGCCCCCATCGGCGTCTGAGTCCGTGCCGGTCTCTAAAGACGACCCCACAGGGTTTCTGAAGGTACCACCGGCATCTGATGGCCCTTTGCCGGCCTCTGAGGGCCCGTCGCCGGTATCTGGAGCCCCCTGCCGGCTTGTAAAGGGTACGCGTTATCAGCTCTAAGGGTCAGACACTCGTGTACGACGGACCCACACCAGTGTCTCTGCAGTCTGCAACTTAACGTCTTTTTCGCCCTTCTTCTTAAGACTAACTTTTCTTTTCTTTACATTTTTATTTCATGCATTGTAAATTGCGTAATTGTTTTATTTTTAGTAGTGAAAGGCTGCAGAACCAATTATTTTCCTCAAGCAGAGTTAGTGGGAGTTATTGAGGGACAAAATAATTGGGGGTGCTGACTGGAACATTTGGGGGTGCCCGGAAAACCATTGGGGGTGCTCATTTGAGCATTGGGGGTGCTGCAGCACCCCCAAAAGTATACAAATCGACACCCATGGTGAGACCACTGTATGAACTCAGTTACAGTTGGACAGAAATTGAGCTCGCTGTCGTGCCTCTACGTCGTCTAGACGCTCCTCCATCACCGATCTCTCTCGCCTTCGATCATGCCCGAGATCGTTGATGGCGACCGTTCCCTCTCAGTCGACCGTAGACAGCTGTCCATCACGTGACCAGTCGGTGTCGATGGACACATGTCACGTGAGCGCCTCTCTTTCCGAGCTCGTCCATCGCGATGGCCGACTGGCCCAGCTGGAGACGATCACGTGATAGGTGCCGTGCTGTGTGGGTGGGATCACGTGACTGCCCCGCCCGGCGGCGGTCGGCATAGCTGTCTGTAGAAAGTGCCTTCCTAGGTCCATCCGAACCAAGATTACTTTACGACCAAGCGACGGCGGTGTCGGCAATTGAGCCACCACGCAGGTTTCTGAGGAATGCGACCGGTTCTGATGGCACGCCGGACGGGTCGGGGGGGGGGGGGGGTAGCGGTCCGACCAGTGCTGACTGCTGAGTGCTGACTGCGGCTGACTCTCCCCGTGACCTGCTGACACGGATGGGTCAGCTGTGAGTCATACTCACCCCACGTCAGCTGGGAGTCGACGGTCTGGAGTTCCGGTCGGCAGACAGTGGCTGGAATGGATGAGTCGGCGGCTGGATGATGCCGTTAGTGAAGTGAGAGGATCTGACAGGTCACTGGGTGGACTAGGGATATGCATGTAGGACTGTGGGTACTGGTTACCGTTAGTCATCGAACGATGAACTGATCACCTGAGCTACTCTCCATTGAAGGAAGTCGGACTTAACCCACGAGCCGCTGGGGGGGGGGCATAAAGTTGCCCCCCCCCCTTTACGTTTTGTAAAATATCTCCGAAACCTGATGAGCTACGAACGTGAAACTTGGCATAGCTTCTAATGAATACCTAGGCAATGTTTGAGGAAAGTTTGGTGGTTGTAGCACCTAAGATGACGTCATAGTGACGTCATAAAGTTTTGTCGTTTTCCGATATGGACCGTTTCTGATGACGCTAAGCATGAAACTCGACTGTAAATGAACTAGACAGCACCTGCTGTCATCCTAAAACATCTTATTACACTTCCATGTAGTTTCTGACCAATAATCGGCCCTTTATATTCGGTCCCATATATGTGATGTATCGTGAGGAATATGAGAGTCGCAAATCTATAATTTCACTTATGACGTCACTGTGACGTCATTTCAAATGGGATCGTCACCAAATTTGGACACAAACTCGGCTAGGTATTCAGGAAGATGTGTGCAAAGTTTCGCTTCTGTATCTCTTCGCGTTGCGACGATATCGTCGCAGAAGTAAAGGGGGGGCAACTTTATGCCCCCCCCCCCCAGCGGCCGGCGGGTGGCGCGGAGGCCCAGCGGCCGCCGGGTTAAGGCTACCTTAGATGGGTGTAACGGATATTAGTCACCCCAGCCGACCGTTCAGTGATCAAACAGGTCGGAGAGAAGCACAGGACTGACCCGGTGGGGTGAGGTGGTAGGATTGCGTAACCGGAGTTCCGTGTCGTGGAGCGGATCTCCGGGGTGGGGGGGGGGGGTGACAGAAGAGGTCAGCTGGTCTTCCGTCCTCAGTGAGGTGCTGCAATGGTGAGGTGTGGTGGGTGCTGGGTGCCGGTCTGACTCTCCAGCCAGTTGCTGTTGTAGCCACTCTGGACAGTGCAGCGGCGCGGAGCTCCAGTTTTGTATAGGTATTGACTTTCGGGCGGTTCGTTGTGGATATGTGAAGTGGGTGTTGTGTGGGCGGCTATTGCAACGGAAGCTAATTGCGCTATCTGGAGAGATACTGCCTTTACCGGAGTCACGTGGAAGGTCATACTGTCACAGGTGAGGCTGATCAGCTTTTCAGAGGCTGTGTCATTCAATTATTATAACGCGGGATACCATACTAAAGCCCACCTGACTGACACGAAACCTCTGCATGACTGGCATGGGCTCTCTTTTTGCGAGTTACAGCAACGTTCCATTCAGGGACGACATATTATATCTCCTCTCTCAGTAGCCGATGCCCTTGTGCAGCAGCCGTACTGAAGGCACCAGCGACTCTGTGCATACTCTGCACTGTACATTGTGCACGCGGTGCCCTCCGTGTGTGCACTGCTGTGCACGCTAGAGTCAATGATTGAATCGTGCACGGCACGCCGTTCCGTGATGCTGTTTTGATCAGCTAACTGCCTACGTGCCTGACAGTGATCGTGAATAGGAAATGAGTCATGGGATGCGGCGAACCTTGCCGATGAACTGTGGCCCCTTCTCGCTCGATGTTCGGTACTGTTGAAGAAGGGTGTTTTCTGACGGAGCATTTGGCCCAGAATGTCGCAGATAACCGTGTTTGCGTGTAGCCATTATCTCTTCAGCTGCTTTTGTTATTTTGTGACTTGTTGAGAGCCTTTCTCCAGAGACGTTTGGTGCTTGACTTCGTTTTTAACGTTTGTTTTTCGTTAACGTGCTTAGTTCGCCCGTGTTTAGACATTAATCGTTGTTTTTTCACCCGTTTGACTACTGTCTCTGTTCTGTTTCAGGCCGGTCAGTCATCGTTGTCTCCACTGGCAGAGACAGCGGGAGCACCGGGCCACTCCACTCCACACTCTACACTCCATTCCACTCCACTCCACTCCACTCTACTGAACTCTACCTCTGCCGCCGCTGCACTGCCGCCGCCTCTGCCTCTGACGTCATACCAATATGGCGGCGCCCAGTCGACTGAGGATACCCCTACTGCTATTGTGTTGTGCAGGTGAGTTCCACCCCAGGCCCACCTGCAGTGGCCAGTGTGGTTGGTCTGAATTGTGATGCGCACAAGGGGATCAGGGATGATCGGGGTAGTCCCGAGCTGTGCGTTCTGCGTCGTGGCCATACAGTCCTTGCTCACTGGGTAGACATACTAAGTAGGTTAGTCCGACGCACAAAAATAAAGTGCGGTTAGGTTTCGCTCATTTGACCTGCCTGTAGCGTGATACCTATACCTATTCGCAGAAGAGGGACATTGTTTTGTCGGGGTTGGTAGGGAAATGTGTGATGGAAAATCTTCTTGCGAAACTGTTCGCATGCAATGTTGGCAAGCATCAACCGACGTGCAGTGATGTCGAGCAGGTCTCTACGTCCCACAAATTAATTTGTGGACAGCCGTTTTCCATTTGGCAAGCCCCAAGGCATCTTGTCCATGGGAACGCGTTGGGCTGATCATCACTGCGTATAAATACCAAAGCTTATTGACGATCATCACTGCGTATAAATACCAAAGTTTAATGATCGTAAATACCTAATGTTCCAATCATTCGGTCCGCCGCCGTTCTAAATACATCCGTGATTGTTCGAAGTGGGTGATACGAAGGTCCACTTTTTCACACACGTGCTGATCGGCACTCGGCAGCCACTATCCAGTAATTGTGATGCCCCTGCCGCCTGCCTCCCGAGGTTTCACTTCAAGACGGTGATATCGTAGCGTCTTAATTAAAATATTCCGGCTAGTGACATGTGGGGAAACTTTGAAAGCGCGTCCACCACAAAACATACATGTCTGCCAGCATGGCGCCTGGCTAGTTGGGTTTCGTGATCAAGGTGTATCAAGGAAAGCACGGCCAAATTGTCGGGCGAGATATGGCGAGTTATTTGGGCTAAATGCGCCCACCGATCTGGGCTAAATGGGCCGGGTTATCTGGGCTAAACGGACCAGTTTATCTGGAGCAGACGGCGAGCCGATACGCTCCACCGCACACGGGCATGGGCAGAAACTACTCTACGCAAAACGCGATAAACAGACGACGGGGTTGGGACAGGTAGCTGAGATCATGAAAGCATTAGTTCGACATCAGGGATGATAAATATGTATCGAGAAGTCCACGCATGTGTACGGTATATTGCATACCTATTGGTTAAGTAATAGACTATCCAATAGTAATAGAGCTATAATTGTTATATTTTATATAATCTTTTGTCTTCGTCTCGCGTCTTTAACATTGGACAATGGACACCATAGCAGTCAGCAGATAGCTCCTGCGGCCCAGCTGCTCTCCCGTCTGCACCACTGAATGATCCATATCCAGTACATGGGAATGAACCGAATTTCTACATCTCCTACCGATCAGGAATGAAACGCCCCACTGCTGCCGCCAACGCCCTCGCTATCTCTGATTGACTTCAGAGCACCGATGGCGAAATCTGGTGTGTCGCCATGTTTCTCTTTTTTCTCTCTCTCGATGTGGGAATGTTCCCCATCTCGTGCGACCGAGGTCGACGCGTTTTCCCTGCGTGCAGAAACTTTGTGACGCCAGGTAGACGCCGGCTGTCCCGAGTTTTCCGTCACAATAGTTGTTGCCAAATTGTCGGGCTTTTATTTCCCTGTGCACGTGCCGTATTCATAGTGTCATGGTGTTTTGGAAAAGGCCCGGCCCAGGGACCTATCTTTTGCCCAGTGATGGGGAGGACCATTGCCCACTCGTAATATTCGAGAGTCCACTCAAATAGTAAGGGCTAGGCCATACACAGACAACGAGGGCTAAGCTACCTTCGTAACGAACTAAAAGTCTGGATATTGAGGGATTGGTCTCTCTTCATTATGGTGTCTACGTCCCTAATAGATGGACAGAGGCTGAACTTTTGTTTTCTACAACTTCTCATCGATCGAGTGCTGAAACAGTACATTGATTTCCGAACACCCATTCCACACACATCGAGCAGTATCCATCTAGCACATCCATAAATACCACTTACGTAACGCCACTGGTCGTCACGTGTTGCCAACTATTGTCCCGGTCCCGAGTTCCCAGTCCAATAACACCCAATAATACCTCCCTAACCAGCCTGACCAGCCGGCACACAAGAGCTCGGTTACCGACCCACCCGGCAGTCACAGAACGATTATTGACGCGTCTAATTCATCATTATTGTGGTGACTGCTGGGCGACAGGGGTGGGCTGGTATTGACGATATTGTTCCGGTCGGTGACCGTATTGGTCGGCGATGAATAGGGTATCGGTCAGTTACCATGGGCCTGGCCGGTGAGAGTGCTTTTCGGACGTGTGCTCTTGCCGTTATTGGTGATAGGTAAAGGGATGCAATTACTACCTATAAGTGGTCTATAACCATAACTGGTTTAACTATAAGTGGTAGATGTAGCAATATATAATGTGTAACTTATAGTTGCCAATAACTGCCCGTCTAACATAATATTTTTGGCTAAGAAAATATAATTCCATAGCTTATATAATCATATTGGTACTGCTTAATGATAAACTATTTTTTTCAAAATACATGGCTTCTACCTGACAGTGTGCTGCGGCTCCCATTATCCCTACTCGTCCAGACTGCCGTTCCACACCACCGAAAACTACCCTCCGCTGGACCTCCCGATTTGAGTCACGCCGGGCTAACGTGACGTGTGCGGCGCGCCCGCTGCTGTTGGCCCAGCCGATATAACGGTGCGTTGGGCGCGTCCTACTACAAACCTGACTGAGCCGCGGGGGACAGCGACCGGCGACGGACGGACGGACGGACAACGAATAGGATGGACGGACGGACGGACGGACGGACGAACGGACGGGCTAGCGTATAGACTGATAAATGGATAGGACAGATGGACAGACTGACAGAGGATGGACAGATGGATGGACGGGCTAGAGTATAGACGGATAAACGTATAGTCAGGACGGATGGAAGGACAGACGGACGGACGGACGGACGGACTTTCGGATGGACCGATGTGGTAGCGCAGCATTGCCTCTGTTGATAAGACGCTGGTGTGGGGCACTTGCCTCGGGGACTTGCACGCTTGCTGAATACTGAACACCGAGGGCTAAGCACCAGTCGATGCGCTACTAAGTAATCCCGGCGGTCGGCCGTCCGGCCTGGCTACAGGATAAACCGGTTGGAGGATCAGCCAGTTCCAGCCAGGCAGGCCGGGCAGCCAGCTAAGCTCCGAACTAGCTAGTCACTCAGCAAGTCTGCCGGTCCCGAGTAGTTGATCAGTCCCGAAACGCAACGTATTGTCTTAATTCTAGAAATGTGTCAAACTTCTCCAGACTAAACAGCGATATTCTTGCCGTCTCGGCTAGGGTAGAGGCCATTGCCAGCGAGGATCCCTCTGTTGGCTTGTGACGAAGCCCTGTGAGGCCTCTCACCCGGTTCAGTACCGCACCATATACAGACTTCACACCACAGCCAGGCCGGCACAGACAGAACACAATGGGACGACCACCTAAACAGTGGCCTGGCGGGCGGCGGGACTGGCTGGCACCGCCCGGGGGTATTGTTCAACACAGGATGGTGGTAAAAGGGCCGGCAGACACCAGACACAGCACAAAACATAGAAACGTACTCACACAAACGCCAGAACGCTGTAAAACACATGCGCACATCAATACCATGGTCTTATATGGTGCACCATTGCACTGCAGCCAATCTCCCAAAAGCCGGTAGCCCTATAGCTTACAGAGAACTCGTGAGTAATGCTGGGGCGGTGACTGGTGGCCCGCCCTGTACCCGACCCGCATATGGTGAAGTTCGTTTGGCGGCAGCAAGGAGAGGAGGCGTCTGTCCCGCTCACAGTCACGCGAGGCCGGCAGGACGGTTGGCGAGCTGCGTGAGGAAAGGACTAAAGGACTAGCGGCCGGACTAGACTAGAGGACTAGAGGGACTAGGACTAAAGGGACTACGACTAGAGGGACTAGGACTAGAGGGAGAAAGGACAAGCGAGGATGGTAGATTGGCGGTTGGGGGCGGTTAAGGCCTTACAGGGTGACACTGCAGGCTCAGTACTCACACAGCTAGCTATCTCCATTCACTCGTTAGGAAAGACTGCGAATGAAGAACCACAAAGAAGTCACCGATGACTGGACAGAGCCAGGTCTTTGGTAACAGCTGCTGAGTCAGCTTCAGGGTTGGGAGAGGTGAGAGGGGCTTTATTAACTACGTCCATTGTTTGCGAATGAATCGATGCTGGTCTGGCTTGTGTAGGTGGAACGTTCAGGGGATTGATAGGCAAATTGTAAGTTCGTTGCAACAATTCACATTGTGCCGACCTAAGCCGGGCTTTGGCAAATCATCTACCTATATTATCATTTTAAAAATAAATTTATATTTCCCATGTTGTGCTATAAAAACACCTCGTTGGCCGGTCAAATGAATCATGCATCTTAAGTTTAAGTATGTATTGCCGTATGGCAGGCAATTTTAGCCACATCCTGGGCTGTTTAACGAGCATTTGTTGTAGAAGGAAGCGCCTTCTCTGCACTCTGTACTAAACGGCCGATGGCCTCCCCGGGGAGATGTTTTGTGTATTTACGCATACCGTCGGATTTGGTCTGCGACGGGTCCGGACGGTACAGTCCACTTTTTCTTCCTCCAAGATGATAAACAACTCTTGACGAACTCTCCAATTCGTGTGGCGCAGGCCACATTTAAAACGGAGTTTGAACTGAGAGCAAAGATCGCGTGGGGTGCCGATCTTTTCAGACTAGAGGCGACGCTTCTCCTCCTTCCTGTTCAAACAACAGTCAAAGGTCACTTTGTCGCGTCTCTGGACAAACAGCTCGGGCCTCGGGGAATCTTTGCAGCGTCACCGTTAAAATGAATACGTGAACCGACTGGCGAATCGCGTAATGACGTCAGTCCTGACGTCAGTCCTGTCAATGAGGTTAAATGACTTGAGCGAATGACTTACTCGAATCTTTGTAAATGAGGCATCCAACGAAACGGACTTAAGAAACTGACGTAAATTTAGCCGAACAAATCAACGTCCCACACGTAGATTAAACAGTGAATTGCCGGCGCACATAAATTATTCTCCTGAAAAGAATCGCATAAAAGCTCACCGTGAAACGCTTGACGCTTCAAAGACGAACTCAAACGACGCCTCCTAATAAGGGTTTACTCAATACTTGCACACCTGCGTAATGAATAATCTTGCATAGTGATGCGAGTCCTCTGACATATACCCCGCTGACCGCTCTCCCCAACCCGGAAGGTAGAGCCCCGACTGAGCTGCGGTGCGTCAGGGTCGGGTCCCAGAATCTCACCTCCAACGCATCGCTCGCGTGGCCCTCCCACATTTGGCGTGCAACAGCCACGTGCAGTATGGGGAGGAGGCGGGGCGGGGACGGACCTTGGTGATGGTGGGAGTGAGATGCTTCCTTGGCTTCCTCGTCGGCCTACAGTGTGTCGGTATTGAGCTGAGCGACCTTGGTTTTTTATAGTCTTTTCGAGGTGCTAGACGAGTAATTACAGCACAGCAGAAGCCAGTCCGTCTTTAACCTGTACTCCATCGATCCTAGTAACCTCGCCAGAAATCGTTACGGCTGGACTAGTCGTCGTCCTCGCTTAGGAATACCGGAGCACGCCTAACGGTCGATATGGCACGGCTAACGAAAGTCCAGCGACCTCGCGTAGCCCCGGGCAGTGTGTCCTTCGGAGACGAAGCCGAGGCGAACGTCCTACGGAAGGGTCGATGTCTATCGGTCCCCCGATGTCAGTGACCTTGCAGGCTGAAGCCAAGACGGCGCGGTAGCCATGGACGGCCCTCGTGGGGTCGATGGGTTGAGGTCACGCACTGACTGACCTTGACTGGCATAGTAGGGGGAGGAGTGGTCATCGATTCGCAGGCGACCTTGACTGGCAAAGGATCAGCCACGGCCGGCACATGAGACGGGGGCAGGGAGGGGGTATTGATTGGTGCCTGAAGGCTGTTGCTCGGTGTGAGTAGTCGTCTTGGAATTGAGCGGTTGATCCATAAGTTACATATGTTTTATTTGCGGAAGGCTTGGTGGGTTTGATTGACTTGCGAAAACCATATCGGCATTGGAACGTCGGCAATGGGGACATTTTTTTACAACGCCCTTTCAAAAGTCTGGCTCTCCTTCTTTGGCTTGAATGATCTATCTCGCACGTCGGATTTTGGTACGGGATTGCTGTTCGTCTGTCTACGATCATACTCATGTTGTCAATATGTCTGACCGTTCCCTCCCCGTCTGTGTGTTTCAGCTCTGGTCGCCACACAATCACAGACACCCTGGCCGCCGCCCTCGATCCCAGCCGTCGACCCGACCACAGCATCGACCACCATCTCTCGCCGGTTCCTCTCTGACGAGCAGCACCGGCTCCTGACCAGTCCCAGTTTCGGCCAGCGTCTCACCACCCGTCCCCGACAGGCGGCCCGACCGGCCACGCGCCGCGACTGGACACCCATCTGGCCCGGCGGACAGGGCGCGGATGGTTCCTCTGGTTCCGCTGGTGGCAGCGGGTCGCCGGCAGTGGTTACAGCGCGTCCGTCCCGCCCCAGCCGGAGACCAGACGCGCCGCCGAGTCTAGCGCCGAGCAGGCCGCCGGTCACTGAGTATTACTTTGCCAGTTCGGCTGTGTCGGCGTCCTCTGCGCCTGGTGAAGGCAGTGACGGAGGGCCTTCCTTTCCGCCAGCTCAACTGCCGACGGCGACGTTTGCGGCTCCGGCGGCGACCCCGACGCGGGCGCTGCCGTCGACGGCGTCTCGACGACCATCGGTGACTCGACTGGGTCTGGCGGATCGACTGTCAGCGTTGGTTACCAGCCGACCGGCACGGACGACTATCATCTCTCCTACTCGCGCGGCGCCGGCCCCACCGAGCTCTGCTCTGCTGCGACCCACACCGTCAAGAGAGGAAGACATCGACAATGGACTGGGCCTCGAGCCCTCCACATTACCTCCATGGAGCCCGGAACGCACCAGCGCTACTGTTGAGCCCACCGCGGCTCCGGCTGCCCCCGCTGCGGCCCCGGCCGCGGCTGAAGGCCCCAGCAGCAGTGACGGAGAGGTCTCCCCAACTCCTGTCTCTCCCCCTTGTGTGGTGACACCGCAGCACCCGGGCGGTTACTGCCGAGACGGAGACATCCTGACGGTCTTCACTCGGGATCCGGCTGGTAACTGGGCGGCTTACCGCACCGTACAGCTTCCTTCATCGACAGTACGAGCGTTAGATGGAGATGCGGAGGGCGATGAGACCACGCCAGACCCTGGTCCCTCAGACCAGACCACAGACCAGACCACGGACCGGACCAGGACCACGCCTGCTGATGAGGGGGTAGCGACAGTCACCAGCCCACCTCTGGCGCCAGAGCCTACTGAGGCTTCCATATCTCCGATTCCCGAACCGGCCGGAGAGAGGGAGGGAGTAGGCAGCGGCGCTAGGGATCACCTGCCCTCTGCCGGGCCAACGAGACCGTCAGTCGGGCCGACTCTACCCTCGGCGGCCGGTCCTACCCTCCCTTCTGATGTGGCCGCAGCGGAATTGGATCAGATCACTGGTGACGAGGGTTCGGAATTCTTCCCGACAGCTACCTCGGTGGAGCCGGGACCCCAGCCGCCCACCGTGGGACCCCGGGCGGGGGCGGGGGCGGATGGCGGCGTCAGCCCACCGCCCACCGCCTCCGAGGCTGAGAAATCGGGCGTGTCGGAGCCAGAGGCGGCTCCTGAGGAGGGAAAGGTGACAGCTCCGCCGACCCTGCCGGGCTGGACCACGAGACAGACGACTCGTTGGAGGACATCGCCTACCTCCCGGCCACCGACGGCACCCACAGAGCCTCCGAGTACACAGACTACCCGTGGGACTACACGGGAGACTACACAGGAGACTACGCGGGAGGGCTCTCGTCAGACAACGGCACAGACTCCCTGGGAGGATTCGGAGCTGACGACTGAGGAGGGTAACTTCCCCACCACGCTAGAAACCTTCCCAACGACGCTGGAGACCTTCCCGACCACGCCAGAAGCGTTCACCACTGCCCCGACTCGAGGTCAGACTACTTTCGGGGGACCGTCTCCAACCACCCCTCCACCTACCTGGCCCCCTTCCTCCGCCCCCAGCGAGGAATCAACCCCTCAGTCTGCCCCTCCGACCCTCCCTGAGGAGGACTGGGCCTCGGCGACGTCTGCTGCCCCGCCGGAGACCACGTGGAGCACGCTTCCACCGGGCGCCCACCCTGAGACGACCCAGCACACCTCGGAGAAAAGCGCTGAGCTGGGGAAAGTGTCCGTCAGTCACGCCGCGCCGACACGAGGTTAGCATGGGTGTCACTACCGGCTAGGGCGATTTCAGGAAGGGCGATCAATACGACATTGCTGCTTGTATGATAGTTTCTTGTAGAGATGCTGCATGAAGATGATTCCGTTTTTCCCGGATAATGATGTGTCGTACAGTTCGCCTTAGTTACTTCATTTTAATCTCAATAAAGCCGCTTATTTTATCCATTGCCATTCAGTTCGACAAATTAGGATAAGATGACTGTTTGATTTCGTTACGTAACCAAACTACCATTCTCTTGTCGTTTAGCCAGTATTGCTATTACCCAGTGGATGGTCACCCAAGCTATCAACTGGCTTCTAGTTCGTTCAACTGAAAGTTACCCGACTGCCAGTCCGCTGTTCCCATCACGCCGTCCGTTTCTCCGTACCATTAACCTCCCCTCCCCCGTCTTCCCGCAGCGTCGAACGGCACATGGCCGGGCAGAGGGACCACCGACGACGGTTTCAGCACGGGCACCTACCACTACACCACTGGGGCCGCCTTCGACTACCCGACCGGACCGACGGGCTTCACCAGCCACGGCGGAGTGACCGGTCGGCCGGGGTCGCACTTTGCCAGCGGCTCCACACGTCAGCCGACCACCACTGGACAGTTTACCCGTCCTCCGCCCACCGCCCCGTCCGGGCCGGGAGATTATGATTACACGACCGGACCCAGTGGCGACTCGGGGAGTGGATTCTACGGAGAGGGATTCCCGTATAGTACTGGAAATTATACGACCATTGGGCATGGTAGGCTGACGCCTCCGCCCCCGCCGGCTGGGGTGCCTACGTATACCGCGGCGGGACGGCCGGTGGGCACAGGTGTCACCAGCACCAGCTGGCCGAGCACCAGCCGTGGCACCACCCCGGAGAGCACCACTGTGGGCGACACGACTATTGGTGATACTACTACCGGTACTACTGTCGGGACCACTACAGGAACCACAGGTACTACTACAGACACCACGGTCGGCACCACGCCTGGCACCAGTCGCGGCACCACGCCCAGCACCAGTACGTCACCAGGGATCACTCACAGCTCGGTGGTGCCGCCCGTGGAGCTGTACGTCCAGTTTCTGATCGGTACTACGTGGCCGCGCTTCTGCCGCGTCCGACAGGCGTTCAAGCAGCGAGTGGTGGATCTGGTCAACGGAGAGACGCACAGGTGAGGGCTCGTGAGAGAGGGAAGGGCGGTGGTGGACTATTTGTGGACCAATAACGTATAATATCTAATATACGACTAAAAACGTTCACGGGGTCCAATTTTCCAGTTCAAGTTCTAATTTGCAAATTTCACGTTAGCTTGTTGTGTGATGTGTTTCTTTCCATGATGGGTATGGTGCTACTGTTTCATTGCTACCAATCCTGTATGTCCTCCAGTTCATCCGATGTAGCCTGTACCGCGGCAGTCCTGTCCTATCCCTGTCCCATCGCGGGTGGCCTTGGCACGGCCGAGCCTGTCCTGCTTCACGCTCAGATAACCGCTGTTCTACGCCGGGCAGCGCTGTCGCCGCCAGTTTCTTGCCATCTTCTTACCACTCGTTGGCGCTCCGGAGTCGCCAGCCTTTCTCCCTCACTTCCACCTGTTCACCGCTTTCATGACCTTTACTGTGGGAAAGACCGCAGCGAAAGGCCAAGAGCGAGACGGTCTTTCCTCTGATTGATTCGCATTCGAACTCGGATAAGAGGTTTAAAGAATTGCTTTCTTAGAAGGTTCATTGTTTACTCTAAGTCTACTCGCTGAAGCATTAGTATGGGTCTTTCCGAGCTCCCTTATAGCAAATCACTACTGCGTCTTGCTGGATGTTTTGTAGTTTGTACTGTGATTAGCTTACATTATCTACTACCCAGCTTCCCATTGTCTCGGCATAATTCATAACAAACGTCGCGACATGGGCCGCGTTTCATAAAGCGAGTCCGTAACTTACGCCGATTTTTGGTCTTGTATTGCAAGTGCATGTGAAGCAATGACGATAGTTTGAATCGTTGAATTTATTTAACTTGCAAGCAAGAACAGAAGGGAGAAGGTGAAACAAATTTATCGTTTCACATGCGCTTGCAGTACAAGCCCAAAAATCGGCGTAAGTTACGGACTTGCTTTATGAAACGAGGCTCTGGACGCTAGACTACAAAACTTATACAATACCACAGTAGACACGACTTCTAGCAGACAATTACTGAAGAGCGACATCTGCCATAGCACCTCCACCGCCGCCCCGCTGCCATTTCCTTGGTGCGCGCTCTGGGAGAGTTCTTGGTGCTCTCCTGGCCCCAAGGCCGCGTCTCGCACGACTGAGTACCCGATCACGCCCCAGTCGCGGTCCGTGGTAGAACGTGCTGTCTCGCATGTCGTTGGGACACTCCGAGCTGCTGAGTTGGCGGCGCCCTGGGAGAGTGGGCAGGTTTGCTGCAATGTCCGGTGATGGATTCTATGTACGGATGTGGTTTTGTCGTCAGAGGTCCTAAAGCTGTGGGGAACGTGTCTAAGGGATTTGTTCGATTTGTCGAACACGTGTTGAAACATCGATAGGTGGGGTCTATAAGCCTGCTTTGTTGGTAATGATTGAAGCCAGCTATCAAAATTCATCCAACAAAATTTATCTAAACGTCCCCTTTACTCGTCCACCAATTCGATCGAGTTATCCCAAAACATTTACTATCGCTATACCGTCTCTCAGATCAGCTCAATATACAACTGTCTGTAACCGTCTGTAACTTCAACCCTGCTCTGCGCCACCCAGCTAGCCAGCAGTCTGCAGGAAAACCATTGACGTCAATCATTGCCACATACCTGGCCGTACTGATATATCTGTCGGTCGGCTTTCCGCCATCGTGGACCGTTGGCCGGTCGTGTCTCGTTATCTCGATATTCGCCGGCCGCCGGCTGGAGGTCAGTTTTCCTCCTTCCCCCGGATAGGGCGCGGTCATTGGCGGGCTTGTTTCCGCGGTGTCTGTGCTGTGGCTTTCAGCTATGTGTGTTAGAGTTGACTGGGCTGGACGGAAAGGAAGATTGAGCTCGGTTGAGCAAAAGGGCCGTATTTTACAATTAGAATTGATGCGAGTTCCGAGTCTTTTAGGTTTGGCGTGCGAGAAATTTGAGTCCCATATACTCAGTCTTATAAAGAAAATACTAATGTAATAAATAAAAATGTATATCCCCTAAAAGGCTTCGATCATTTCGTCCACCCTGCCGCCAACCCACCCCTGCCTCTTTCCCTAGTCAGTCTTCTTCTCTACCGTCGCACTCCCAGCCCGACCCCAGTGTTTAACCCTGTCTACCCTTTCAATTGCCTGAGTTATGACCCTCGCCATTCTGTTTCAGGAATCTCACAGCCGACAGCGCCGTGCTATTCAACATCCCCGTATGCGGGCGTCCAGTGCGGGCCCGCCGGGAGACGGACCCCTCATCCACCGCTATCCTCGTCTTCCTCTACCTCACCGACTCTGACGGCCAGTACGACCGGGCTCTGACGGAGCGCGTGGAGCCTCTGTGGGAGTCTGCTGCGGCTGGGGGAGGCGGGGGAAGCAGCTGGGACGGCATGGCTCGCCTGGTGCGAGAGGTGGACACAGTGCAGCCGGAGCAGCTGGTTCAGACGCAGGAGCACTCGGAGAGGGCTGGTGTTATAGCGGCGATCACTGTGGGATGTGTGGCCGTGGCCAGTCTGGTGCTGCTGGCAGTACTGCTGGTGAGTGAGGAGGGATGGAGGTGGGGGTAGAGAGATGGAGGGATGAAGTAAGGGGATGAGATTACAGGACTGGAGGGAGCAAGTATCATGGGTTTGGAGGGAGCGAATTGACAAAGTAAATATGCTATCTATTGGGAACATATTGAGTCAGAGTAGGTTTGGGCTGGTTCATTTGTTAGGTTTTCCCTTTAATATGCCATGTTATCGGTTTACTTCACTTTATGCCGTTATCTTTCCGTTCCTGTAAACTGCGTTTAGCCATTAACCATCGCTTTAGCCGTCTGCACTTTCTTCGACCCCTACCCTTTCTAACCCCTTCTGCCCCCTCTCCCGTCCTCAGGTGGTGGTGCGCCACCGTCGCCGCGCGGCACAGACGGCCCAGCGCTGTAACCCCGTCAACATGGAGGAATACGGAGTCGAGTCCGTCTTCAGCTCCATGAGACGCAAGAACAAGATGCGCCGATCGGTGCGATCCTACCTAAACCAGGCGTTTGACGATCATGATGCGCCATCAAACGCGGTCAACTTCGCCGGCCTGGCGAACCTGTCTGGAGATCTGGCGGCTCTCAAAGGTGGGAGGAATGAGTGGAAGGGCGAGGGGAGGGAGAGGTTGGGGATGAATGAGCTAGAAAGATGGAAAACAGGCTAAATGACGGACAGCTTGTTACTTGACTATTCATTTTGTGTCCGCTATACCACGCACCATGAGTGCTAGATAGAAGACTATGCAGTTTTGGCTGATAACTGTTTATAAATATCGTTACGAATCGTTAAATTGTACCCAGCCCATTATTGTAGCTTATTTTCTCCCCGCCCCTCATCTCGCAAGAGGTTACTTGTCTGCCCACTTTTGCTCCCACTGTTGTGCCTTCCTCCACCTCACCACTAGATGACCCCTTAGCTGAGTTAGTAACTCCCCCCCTTTCCACAGAGGAGTTTGACTCGATCCCTACCGGTGCCATGCCGACTCTGGACGACCTCCCGCCGGGAAGTGAGGACCGTAACCGGTACGCTAACGTGTTACCGGTACCCGAGACCAGGGTGGTACTGGATCAGAAGACCGGAGCGCCCAACAGCGACTACATCAACGCCAACTATGTCCGCGTGAGTACGGGGATGGCTGGGATAGGAGAGTGAGATACTGGTAAGAGTGGGATGATGATGAAAGTGATGATGAAGGTTTGTGTAAGGAAGTGTTTGGCTGGACGTTGGTGTCACATTGTGTACTCTTACGTGAGCTGGTTACTGACCGCAAGACTGTTATAAGTCATTTCATCGAAATCCGTTTGTGGGTCGAAGTTGTACCATTCGAACCTGTTTACAAGCTAACGTGCTTTTCAAGGTACCGGCCATATAGTTGCACCTTGCCAACAATGCTAGGTCGTCCTTATATTCAATCTTTCCGCTTTTCCCTTCAACAGGGCCCGAAGGACGAGCCGCAGTTTTACATAGCCACCCAGGGCCCGCTGGAGTCTACTGTGAACGACTTTTGGCGAATGATCTGGGAGACCCAGTCCAAGGTGGTCATCTGTCTCACCGATATTGTCGAACGAGGAGTGGTGAGTCGACGGGGACGGGAGGGGAAATAAGGGGTCTGTCGTATTTGTCGTCTTGGTTTTGTATAATTTCCTTTTGTCTTATCAACTGTCTTATTTTGTCTTATTTCTATGTTTCTTGGAATCAATTTAACACATGTCCAGTCTAACGACGGTAAAACAGTGACTTTGTGTGTTATTTATGACCCTCAGTAGTGAGTAGTGACCTCTTACCTCGGACCTTGATCACTTATTCACTTAATGACCTCTGCGACCTCTTCGGCCCTCAGCCGTAAGCCGCGTGACACACATCAGTAACATCTGACATATAACCTCGACCGTCCTGTGACCTCTGTGATCCAATGACGACCCATATACGACCCGTTCTGACCTCTGACCCCCCCCCCCCTAGCGTCGCTGCGCCGAGTACCTGCCGCCGTCGGAGGCCCTGGACCGGCACCGTCTGTACGGAGACTTCCAGGTCACGCTGATGGCCAAAACAAAAAAGGACAAGTTTGTCGTGTCCACCATTCAGCTCAAGGTGAGAATGGTGTCATGCGCTGAGGAGTGGTTCAGGCCTCAGGGAGGCTGGGAGTTATAGTGGAGAGACTTTTCTAGCAGCATTGAGGCTAAGTAAGTCAATGACGTAACTCCTATGTGTCGTAAACAGCGATGATGTACATATATAAATTACGTTGCGTATGCTTTTTGTGCGTGTCGATGTAAAACATGCACTCTAAAATGGGATTGCCGGTGCCAAATTTTGTGTCCAAAATACAGTATCTAACGCTCCCCTTTACCTATCGCCTCCACACATCAGCAGTCTCCTTTTGTCCCAAATAACTACAATGGAAAAACACCATTCTTACTAATAGTGTTAGTCTGTTTCAAACAACCCGCGGTTATCATTCACGGCTACAGCCGGTCGTTTTGCGCATCTCCCCGACAAACACATCATAATGCTCACTATGCTACCCTTTGACCTGACATCCCTCCCCATCCCGTTTACAGAACATGCACGGTAACTTGTTCTGGACTGACCTGACCTCCTCCCCCCCCCCGTTTACAGAACATGGACAGTAACCTGTTCCGCGAGGTGACGCACCTGTGGTACTCTGGCTGGCCCGAGCGTGGCGTGCCGTCCGATCTCGACTCCATGGTTGAGTTCCTACAGGAGGCCCGGCGGGCCATGAAGACCAACATCGGACCCACGGTGGTTCACTGCAGGTGGGACTTGCGAGGGAGGGAGCGATGGGCTGAGGTGCGTTTCTGGGGGGGGGGGGGGGCTGTAGTGTTTTGGTAGGTTTTATTGTTCAGTGGCGTAAATGTAAGCTTACTGCTGGTCCCTTGACCGTTTGAATTGTAGTGTGCGAATATGAAGTTCTGACATTATTCAGAATGTTGTCCGTTTATACAGAACCGTGTATGCGCCGATACCGTTTAAACATACTCATCGGTAACCTGTTCAAATGTCATGCGTGTCATGATTGCCTTTTTCCACCGCCTATTCAACATCCACTCATCGTCGTCCCCCCCCCCACCTCTCACTCCCCCCAATCTAACCGCCCCTCCCCCTCCACAGCCCCGGCACGGGCCGGACGGGCGTGCTGCTCGCCTGCGACATCTGTATGCGACAGTTTGACGCCACGAGGACAACAGACATCATGCGGACCGTGTTCAGGATCCGACATGACCGGGCCGGGGCCGTGCAGACACGAGAGCAGTACGCACTCATCTATAAGGTAAGACGGACGTGGGACGGATTTGGGAACGTGAGATGAATCAGGGGACGGGGAATCCTTCATAGAGGGTGGAATAGAGAGGGACTGTGGCGAGCATCGCCGAACGCTCTATACAAAGACACAGTTGTGCGTTTTTAGGAGTGTTTAGGCTATTGGTTCCAAGAATAAAGACGTGTTTAACCGGTGAAGTGTGAGTGGGAGAGGGACTGGGGAGTGGGCAGGGGGCATTAAATTAGAATGTTTCGACCAAGACTGTCCAAATTATATCTAAGCTTGAGGGACAGAGAGGCATGGCTAGAGACTGCATCAGCTAACCCCCATGTCTGCCCCTCTCTCCACCAGGTGCTGAACCAGTACGCTGCCAGCGTCACCAGCGGCAACCTTCCGGCCCTGGAGTGAACCAGTGACGTCACAATAGTTGGACTTATGACGTCATAAAGCGTGGATTCAGTTGTTACCGCTGATGGATGCAGTTGTTCCCATCACACGGGTGTTTGACGCGTCACAAATGTTTGTGTCGCAAAAACTGACGTATGTTACGTCATACACCGTAATATGTACGACGTCACAATGTTGCGTCACAATGGTATCGTTTGTGGACGTATGAATGGCGTCACCTATGGCTTTTGTTGTTACGTCATGGTTGTGTGACGTCACTCGTCGTTCTCCGGTTGTGAGGCGGTCGTGGGTGTTGGGCGGGGCGTCTGTGGTGAGGCCACGCCCCTTCTCTGACGTCATGGTGATAGCAACGGGACCAAGATGGCGCTCCGGGGTGTGCTTGACGCCATTTTTGTGCGAAACAGCTCATGAACTAAGTCTGTGGTAGTTGACTCGGCCGCGGGACGGAGCTGCCTCGTGATTGGCTGATAGCAGCCCAACTTGGAGGCTACGACCAATCGGGGGCGAGAGTCACTCTCGTCGACCAATCGTAGTCTGGCGGTGTTGGCCAGGGGTCCGTGTAGCACGATAATCGGGTTTCGATCTGTTTTACCTGTGTGTATACCATAGGACCACAACTACTTAACGTGTAAAACCACCCAGGATTTACCGAGTAACAACATTTAACGCGAGACTATGGCGTTTTTCGACGTCAGTGTCGTATCCGCGTACCCTAATGTTTTTACTTGGGAGCTTCTGTGCTCGCATTATCAACTTGCTGCGTTGGTGTAATAACGCGCGCAGGAGAGATGAAACCTGAGTGCTTGCCGTGAATGGTTGAAACGTATGCGGGATTGCGGTTGCTTTTAAAATTAGTTCCATTTGTAGCGTTGTGCGCCGGGTCATGTATGCATGTGGAGCGTGTTTGTTCGTTATTGCACCAAACGCGAGTGTGCGCCTGGTTGTGCATTATTACACCGAGTGCGAGTGTTTGGCGTGAGTTACTCACCGTTTGGTGAGTGAGTAGCGGTGAGTTAGTGTGAGAGTGGAGTCGGCCCTCGGTTCGATACCCCGGATTACCGCTGTGATACTGAGCATGATAAGAGGGAGGAACTAATACATTTCTACACTGTAAGTCTGAGTGTTCTTTGAGTCCAGATGAAATGATGAGGGCAGATGAATGATCCTGGGGACGGACGTTCGACAGCGTGAAACTGCGTGGGCTTGTCAAGTGTAATTGCGCTTAGACAATGCTTCGCATTCCATGCATTTATCATGTAGTGCGTACCCGGTATCATGTATGTCGTAAATATGTCACGTGGAAACATCTAGTCTGAATTTGAAAACACCACCGTAACAAAGAGCACGTGCGTCGATATAAAAATATGTTTGCAAGAAAACGGCAACATCGCTCCTGGCTGGGAGGCTGGGAGAACGAGTTCTGAACAGAAAGGAAGCACATCACTGATTGCTCCACGGCACCATACACCGGCTAACGAACACCCATCCAACCAATCACAACACGGGTCACGATACGGTCCACCAATCAGCGCGCGGGACCGCCGCCGGGGCGACGCCCGCGGCCAATCACGTGCAGCCGGCGGCGCGCTCCACCAATCAAATCTCAGACAACGGCCGGAGCGGCGCTCTCGACCAATGACAGCCTCCGAGGCGCCGCCACCGACCAATCACGTCACGCCTCGGCGACCGTAGCCGAGGGAATGGCGGTCATGCAGTCTGTGTCGTTTTTTTGTCACTATGTACAGTCTCGAAGAGAAGTTGTGTGCCCGTGATGGGAGGACGAGACGGCGACGGTGGCGCCATCTAGTCCACGGCGTCGGCCGCGTCGTTCTCACTCTGACCCCGACGCTTGTTACCCTGAGGAGGGAGAACAAAATACTGGCGTCAGAAGACGGACCCAAGCTTCATTTCGTGTCCAAACCTACATAACAAAGCACCCATCATACCCCTTCATTGTCTATCACCAATATAATATCAGGCATAGGCCTAATCCCACCCCTATCACGTTTTTTAGTTCCTCTCTTTCTGACTCACCTGTGCTCATTTGAGCTGCGTTGTGAGCGCGCAAACTCCTTTCAAAAACTGACCTGTGTTCGTATCTACCGTGCAAAGGCAAAAACTACTATGTAAGGTCAGACACCTCGCATAATAGTTTTTGCCTCTGCACGGCAGGTTTAGGCTGTGTCGTTAGAGCGTTACCTCCCCCTATTCGCTCACCTGTGCCCGTTTCAGCTGTGTGGTGAGCGCGTTAACTTCCCTTCCTCACTCACCTGTGCCCGTTTCAGTTGCGTGGTGAGCGCGTGCACCTTGCTGCGCTCCTGCTCGAGCTGTGCCAGCAGGCTGGTCACCTGGGCCGACATGTCAGCCCGCTCGCGGTCGGCGGTATCACGCGCCGCCTGCGCCTTCTCCAGGCTGACAATCAGCTGCACCTTCTCCTTGGCTGAAAATGGAGAGGGGGTAGAGTGACAGAGGGAGTGAACGACCTTCTCCAGACTGACGATCGGCTGCACCTTCATGGCTGAACGGAAGAGTGAGAGAGCGCCATCCCAACACTGTCAACCCAGAACACACACGGCGTCTACAGTTTAGAGGAAACGAGTTCGTGAAGTAGCGAATGCGTCAGCCATTAAGTTGATTTGTACATAACGTCGGTTCATTCTACATTTAACGACCCCCTCCTGTCCCCTCCAGTTCATCGTTCCTCCGTCCTTCTGGCTTCTGCGCGTCCGCCTGCTCCCTTTCTGCCTCCGGGGCGGGAGACTACAGACATCATCGCGTTTCCCTCCCTATCAAGCATCAGCTCACCCATCCTCCTCCCAACTCACTTTCTGACTGTGTGAGCACACTCAGCACGCGTTTGGTGCGCGATTTGGCCAGCCGCAGCTCATCCTTGGTCCTCTCCAGCTCCGCGGTCAGCTCTTCTACCTGGGACTCGGCGGTGGCCAGTCGTACCTGGAGCTCGGCAGGCACGGCCGCTGCCGCCGTCACAGACGGGGGCTGCGGGGGGAGGTGAGGGTATGTCAGAGGGCTGAGGAGACACAGGGGGGAGCACAGTGTGGGTCGCACACACAGACACAGAGTGGATTGGGAATACACCAGAGACAGGGAGGGTCAGAACTCAAAGACAGGATCGAAGCAGAGCTGATAGATACAAGGACGGCTAGTCAAAGGTCTGGGGAGACACATGAAACAGGGGTGGGAGCATAGAAAAACAGGCACGGGGCAAGGGTCGAAGAGAGACGCTGGGACGGGGTTCGAGGTCGAAGAACGACACGTTAGGCGAAGCAGAGTGTTGAAAAGAGATATACGGCCCGGCAAGGGCGGCAAAGTCATAATAAGGACAGGCACAGGCCTCAGAGTGGCGATATAGGGTCTGAAGGGGCTGGACTTGGGAGGGCCACAGGGTCGAGGCGGGGATTCGAATGATAACAAAGGGCTAGCCAGGACAGCATGTAATGTGCAGGTTACCCGTTTATCAGTTAGCTCAAAGTGACTCATAAGGGCAAGAAAGCTCAGGCAGGTGAACAAGATTGCATTACATGTTAAAAACAACAACAATGAACAGCTATTCACCTGATTAGATATCCAAAGATTCCGCCTTGCATCATCACGGCCGCCTATCAATAATGTCAAGTGTGTACGCAGTGGCTCAGACTGTGCTGCGCGGAACGAGATACAATTGGTAGATCGAACACTATCAATCATCAGCCGACATCCACCTACCACACGACTATCGGGTACAACATACCTTTAGCTGCAGCGTCATCGATACTCGATAACCGAACAAACCAGGACGGAGGACCGAAGAAAATCATACACTCGGAGGGAGTTGACCGATGTAATACGAAGTCTGTTCGAATTAAACCCCAACCAATTTATTTCAGGGTGCGAGACGAATTTGAAAGTGGGTAGCTGATGGAATATTGTGTCACGACACTGACACAAATCCGACGTTCTGAATAATCTATCAGAAATTATGTAGGAAGATAGGACGAAGTGAGCATCTATTTCTAAGACGTCTCAAAAGTCGAAATAGTCTACCCTCTCCCCCCCTCTTTCAGCACTGACCAGGTCCTGTCGTATGGTCTCCAGGATCCTCTCTCTGGTGGCCGCCTGTTTTGCCTTCCGCTCCACCTGACCGAAGAAGTCGCCGTTGTCGCCCCCCGCTGCTGCCGCTGCCGCCGGTCGGGGCGGCGGGGGCTGCAGACTTCTCGAGTCACCCTGAGGGACGGAAGGGGAAGGTCAGACGCATCTTTCCATTTCACTCTGAAACAGCGGTGAAAGATAAAAATCATTTCACTCCACTTTTAATGCGTCTAAAATCATTCAGGAATCTAAAACGTGTTACGTGTTCATCTCTATACCAGAACTTCAGGGCAAAAAGAAAGAAAGAAAAAAGACAAAAAGAAAGAAGGAACGAAACGGAAATACAGGTCTACGAATCGACGCACGTCGGAGCGTAAATCTTATCTTTTACCAACGAAACTGCAGATAAAGTCGTTGCCTTATGATACAGGAGACTACAGTTTGGCGCTGTGAATCAGAAGCCACGTCTCACCTACGATCGGCTTTATCCAAACCAAATCCCATCACACACCTGCGAATTCGAGAGTGCCTGCAGCTGATCGATGGAGAACACTTTCGCCTTGGCCTTTTTGGCTCGTGCTTTGCTGACTCCGGCCGCCGCCGTTGCGGAGTCATCGTGTCCGTTGGCAGCCTCCTCTGGTGACGTTTCAGTAGCGGCCTTCTCGTAGTCGACTCGGGACATCAGCATGGCCTGCTGCAGGTCCCGCTCGAAGGCCTCGTCAATCAACTGTTGGGGAACGCCGGGGAGGGGAGGTCAGAACTTCAATGGTTGACGATGAAATGGTGACTAGATGGGCACCGAGCGACTGGGCAGCACGGCACAAGGGTAAAAACTACCGACATTATACTCAAAAGACAAAGAGGTACTCAAAGGTCGCTCCAAGATTATGCTGATCATTCGTTTGCCCAGTCAATTGTAAACCAGTCCCACAACTAAGTCGCTTTAAATTCGACTCAAAATACCTTAACGTCCTTCCAGAACATCGTCATCATAACCCATCCCGCCTGCAGTATCCGTCCACCTCCAGTCACGTGCCGTTCCTATCACATTCCGTCTCCTATCACGTCCCGGTATGCCATTCCCGTTTATCTCATCCCGTCTGCCACCCTGCCACTCACCGCCTGGTCCCGTTTCTCCCAGCCGCTCATGTCCGACTCGCTCTCCTTCCTCGGCGACTCGGAGCCGGACTGCTGCTGCTGCTGCTGCTGTGGCGGCTGTTGTTGTTTCGGCTGCTTCGGCTGCTGCTTGGGCTTGGGCAGGCCGAACGCCATCGATTGCAGCTGCCGGTGGAAGAGGGCGGAGTCAGTAAGGCTCCACAATTAATATCTGCCTAATACCTACAATAAGCTGGGTTAAGAATAAGTATATAAAATGTTCATATTACGAGGAACTACAATTTCAGACGAGTAACTCAAATATAAATGTAACTTTTTCCACAGACACATTTACAACACCTACATTGCAGCCAGAGCTTCTAGTTGCCGATTTCTCTAATCCATGCCGTATCTACGCACCTCAGCATCTGCTGTCTCAGCCGGCTTGCTCTTCTTCTTTTTCTTGTTGGTCTTCTTCTTGGCCTTCTCTTCTTCAGCAGCCTTCTTGAGGGCGGCCTTCTCGCGCTCCTGGTCGGAGTCATCCTCGATCTTCAGTACGGAGAACCGAGAGGCCATCACAGATGCCATGACGACGGACGCTAGAGTGGGTCGACTCTGAATATGTCACTGCAACTGATGGGGCAATGGCAATCAGGGTCGTGAAATTTAGAACTTTAATCGTACGATCGTTCACCTCTGAACACAGATGAAAGCAGAGATCTACCGAAGATCATAATACAAAGAATGTAGTCGAAATGCATAGGTGATAGGGGGTCAATAGCAGCAAGTTACCAAAGATCCTGGCCAACAAATATGTTTGTGCAGGAATAGATGGTAGCTCACTTTGAGATGCTCACTAGAGATGCTCACTTACATAGAAGAGATGCTACCTCACCTGTCCAATGATGGAAAATAGCCCTCACTCAACATAAAGCTTTATTCTCGCTAATACTTGAAAAAATTGAAAGTAACAAAGCCATTAATCCCTCTAATCGTCGAACTCATCGAAATATCCGCCATGACATGTGTAATGCGCCGATAACTCGACACCACCACCAGCGATACTTTGTGTACCGAAGTTTTGGCAATCAGCAATGGATGAAAACATATCTTTTGGCACAAAAACTGATATTCAAACTCAACACTTTTGCTTCTGAGCACCTATATCACAGTCATTGACTCTCACACAGTGTTGGAATTATGGCCTCTTTCTGGTCCCAGGCCATGGCGTTTTATTCTCCAGGTGTGTGGAAACAGGATATGGTGTTTTTCATTGCTTGTAAAATGTCTAGCAGTCTCTGGTTCCTCCAACCAGTATGCTTTGGCAAAGCAACTGATATTGATATTGGTATTCTCTGTGCCAGCCAATTGAGGATCAAGACCAGGCCCACTGGAACTGCAACCGGTGTGAGCCTTCATTCTGTGTGCATTGCAGAATAAAAATTAGGTACCTACCTGCCTGATGATAGGAAAGAGAAAGGTTCATGTAGGCACACTGCTCAGTGCTGCAGACAAAAATAACATAGGCAACCGTAGTCAATCAGAATAAGAACACCTCATAAACACCTTCAACATTTTCCTGTTTTCAGTATCCAAAGCTCTTTTCTGAGGCTTGAGTTGGTATGATTGTAAAATCTATCACAATTTTAAATTTAGAGTTTTAGAGTTTACCATTGTTTCCGACATCAATTTGTTGATATTCTAAGAAAAAAAGATTGGGATGGTAGGTACAACAACTGAGCTAACTGACACATGCTGCCAAGAAGGGCAAACAGCCTTGGTAATGGCCAGTAGCAGTGGCACTAACGGCACCATAAAGTTCAAGTGTGGACTCCGGCTGGAGCCCATTGCCATGCCGTGCTGCCAGTAACTTGAATGGTATTAGTAGGCCTGGTGTCCCAGAAAGACGCCAGATTGGGATGACGGAGATATATAGACCAAAACAAACCTAACCTGACCTGACCTAACCTTACCTACAAGCCTACATATCCTAGGCATCGTGTGTATTTGCGATGTGTTGTGAACTTTTGTACCATTTTCTTTTTGCATTATGGGAAGCTAGCACTGAAGATGATATATTCGAAACGCGTTTGCGAAGGCTTTCTATGATACAGTACCTTTATATTTAAAAAAGTTTCACTTATCTAGTCCTACATATCCTACCTACCTTACCTTCAACCTACCCTACAAACCTACAACCTACAACCTACATCAGTATCTGGCATCTTCCTGGGACGCCAGGCTTACTTATACCAATTGAATGTACTTTTTTCCACAGCTCAAGCTGTTTCAAATAATGCCTTTAAATACTGTAACTACTGAGGGGTGTTCATGGGCACCGCACGGCGCACACTGCTGCATGCGGTGTGTGCAGCAGGCGTGGGGGTAGGGGATGGGTACCTAGGCGGTTCTGACGTCACAGCTGCGTGAGGTGGACGGTCCGCTATGGCTAGTCCCGACCGGCCACAGCAGTCGCTGTGTGGTGACGGAAGGCTGACGTAGGGACGCAGTGGGCGGAGCTTGGAGGCTGTGTACGGTCCAACCGCAGACAGGGTCCATGAACAGCCCTCTGAATAATGCTCCAGCGACCAGCTTATCACTAAATCAGCTTATCCAAAGTTTCAATTTATGAGAAAAATCTTTAGCAGAACCATTTTTTTAAGAAAATCCTTGTATTCTGTGTATTGTAGCTTAAGTCTGAGTCTTGTGGTGAGCGAAAATTCAAATTATCAGGTTCTAAGTGGTTCTAAGCAGACATCCTATGCTGAAACCCATACCAATTGAATTGAGCAAAAGAAGGCGTACCACCACCGCCGCAAGTAATCCAAGGCCCTATGTTGACGTAGACAAGTAATCAAAAATAAAATCAAGAGGCCATTCACCCTAACCCGATAGAACTCCAATTGTAATTAATTCATTTTTATTTTACTTTGATTTTAATCCTAAGGAAATTGTCCTCTACTTTGCTTCCATATTTCGCCATTCATGGTGCAGTGAAGGCGTATTTTCTGTGTTCAAAGAATGTCTAAAATCACCGTCAACGCTTATTGACTAATCAGCGAGCCAGATGTTTTCAGACCTTTGAGCAGCCTTTGTTGCGCTTTTTCATTTTTTCGCTTTATGATAATTCTTTTGATGTTTTTTGACTTATGTTTAAACTTTCTGTCGATATAAAAATTGGCTCACAAAAGAAATCCATCAAAAACGACATGATTAAACTGCAATTGCTCTATTTGTCAGAAACATCAGCGAGCATTATTTGCATGGCACGCCGAACAAAAATCCAACGTGCCCTATTAGTGGCCGCTCAAGCCTTGCTCGCCTTTTGCTGCTTTGGCTTTGTTGTGTCAGGTTGTGTCGGGCAGTTCAAGCTGAGCGGATAAGAACAGTAAGTGTATTTTCATTAAGTTGTCCCATGTTAATCTTGCCCTACCCCTATCTACAACATGGAACAGTCGATTTTTTATTAATATCTTAGCAACTGAAGTAGCAGTATTATTTTAGGGTATCAGTATCGGTAAAACTGGCGTCGCCGTCACCGTCTGCGGCCAGTCGGCAAAGTATGGCAATTTTGATTTCCACGAGATCTCGTCGGTGCGGGCTTGTTCGGCTGGTGCGGATTTGGCCTGGTGCGGTGTGGATTTGGTTGAAACTTGAAAGTATGCGACGCGACCTAGCGTTTGCGATTTAGCTATAATTAGCTTTCAAATGCTTAGTAATTAGGTGTTGAGCTTGTCTAGAGCAAGTAGGGGAGCTGGGAGGGTGGGGCAATTTGTTACAGGGGCATAATGTTGCAAAAATATCTAACTGACCATCCCACCTTAACATTAGTTTGAGTTGAGATAGCAAAGTTTGCGGCCAGGTTTAGAAACGACCATCTATCCTGGTCACAACCCCCGCAGCTTCGTGGTGTTGAAGAAATGTTTCCTTCAGTTGCAGAGTGGAACTAGCTTAGTCCTTATCTCTTAACCATTAACGGATTCTGATGAAATCATCAGCCCATTTAACGCACCTCATGCTTTCAAGCCTGAGCTACGGAACAGGCAAAGGCAAATGCTTAAGGCGTGCACCATTTCAACTGGGCCTGAATTTAATCTTGCATGTGAAGTTTACTGAGTGTTAATGCTTTATTATTTGTCTTACAATAAGAAGGAAAATGTATTTAGTGTTAACCACAGGGTAGGACTACGATCAGTTTCAACAAGAATTAAGATGGTCCATGAACGGTTTCGTAGCTCAGTCGGTAGAGTGTTGGACTCCGCGTGGTGAGAGCACTCGTTCCCGGTTACAACTGCAGTCCGGGTTCGAAGCGCGACGGGCGCTTGACGTTTATGGGCCTCCTGATAGGTATGGTTGCGGTTGGTGGCAGGCCGTAGCCAGGCGAAGTCAGTGAGGGGACCGGCCGTGCGCGGCTATGTGCGCAGTGCGCACGTTAACCCTCGCCGGACCTTTGGTTTTCTACATACGCGCCGGCCGAGGGAGGGGGCGGGTACGACCTCCCCCCCTCGCCGTTTCGCCCCTGGTGGAGCTAGCGCGTCGCAGAAAAAACGAGCGTGTGCGCCGTTACGAGACGCAGAGATTGGTACCCGATTTTAAGGTCCTAGGTCAACCGGTGACCTCTGAGGTCAGGTCAAGTCAAGTGCCCCAAGGTACTGTTCAGTTTTTGGTGAATAACTTCGCAAAAAACGGCCGCAGAGCCGCGATTTTGGCAGCATCGTGTTCGCCTCGCTCAGGCGCGTCGAATGATATACTTTTTGTCCGGGTCAGGTCAACTTGGGGTGTTGACCTCAGGTCAAGGTCAGGTCAGCACCCCCAGGTCACGAAGTTGGTCGAAAGAGGTCATGTCGCATATCATTCGATTCGGCAGGTCTTCCTGAGTCCATTGGTGGCTTTCCCGACTCGCTAGCTCAATTTGATCAAGAGTTATTGACGAAAAACTAATATGACCTTGATGACGTCATAAATGACGTCACGCAAGGTCAACATTGCAAAAGTGACGCATCTAACCTTGCAAGGAGTACATCAAATCACGATTCTGTGTGCTTGAGATAGATGGAGATCGTTCCCGGCGCCAGAATAGCAGTTTTCATTTTTCCCCATTGACTTATAATGGTGAGGTCACGAAAATGACCTGACCTCATATGACCTTTAGGAAAAATCCGAGATATACAAGTTGTGAGACTCATAATGGATACTAGATCCTGCAAGTTTCATTTCCCTGTGACATCTCCTCTGGCAGTGAGGGCGTTGCGAAGTTGCGACATCGGAAGGCCGTGCAGAGGTTCACTTATGACGTCATAGGTCAGTGACCTGACCTGACCCAAAAATGCGGTTGGTGTCAAAAGATTCGGCTTGAATCAAAGGTCAGGTATGCCAAGTTTCAGCTCTCTATCGCCAGCGTGTTCGGAGCTATCGCGAAAAAACCCTATGGGGGGGGGGCTGCACCCGCCCCCCCCCCTCGGCCGGCGAGGGTTAAACTTTGGACTCTAAATTCTGCCATAGAACCGGGATTGTGCGATCGGAGGGTAGAGGGCAGGGTCCACGCAACAAGCTTCGCTTAGCGGTGGCTCTGTCCTTGTGAATCCTTTCAATCAAAAAGATTCGGACTAAATTTATAAAAAAGTTATTATTCTGGAGAAATTGCAAAATAAAAAGTGTAACGTGCTACACCACGTCATGTATCAACTCGCCCGGCGCCCCACAATTTTTCAACACCCTAAAAATTTTGCTTTGGTTTTATGTCTTTCATGCAAAAGTGAATAAACGTATGGAAATGATAATTTGCATGTGCTCTCCAAATGAACTAAGCTAGCATGTGACGAAATTTGGCACAGCTCCATTGTATAATTTGGATGATAGGTGCAGAAAACCAGTGTATCACATTGCCCAGTGGCGGATCCAGGGGAGGGCAAGTAGGGCAATTGCCCCTCCCAAACGGCAAAATTTTTACACTACGCCTATAGACAGTGCATGGAAAGAACCACTATGTTGTTATGGTTTGCCCCTCCCAAAACTGAGCTGGATCCGCCAGTGACATTGCCTCACTCTCCCCTAGGGCATCTGACTTTGTGACAAGCTCAATGATGAAGTACACAAATGGCCAGCCTTCCAATGTGCCATTCATTATTGGAGTTGGAGGAGGAACGGCGTCAGGAAAGTCAACGGTGTGTAAACGCATCATGGAGAAGCTGGGCCAGGAGGCGATCGAGCAGGAGCACCGCCGGGTGGTCTGCATCAGCCAGGACAGCTTCTACCGCAACCTGAGCCCGCACCAATCGGAGCTGGCCCTTCGCGGACAGGTAAACTTCGACCATCCCGACATGTTCGACGACCAGCTTCTGCTGGACACACTGCAAGATATTCGCGCGGGCAAGGTGTGCAACGTGCCCATCTACGACTACAGGACCAACTCGCGCCTCTCGGAGACCCACAAGGTGTACCCTGCCGATGTCGTGCTCTGCGAGGGCATCCTGGTCTTCTACCAGCCAGAAGTGCGCGAGCTTTTCGACATGAAGCTGTTTGTCGACACAGACGCCGACATCCGTCTGAGCCGGCGCGTGCGTCGCGACACCCGCGAGCGCGGCCGCAACCTGGACATGGTGCTCGACCAGTACACACGGCTGGTGAAGCCGGCATTCGAGGAGTTCTGCCTGCCGACCAAGAAGTTTGCTGACGTCATCATTCCGCGCGGTGCCGACAACACTGTGGCCATCAGTCTGATCGTGCAGCACATCGAGGACCTGCTGCTGCAGGCGCGCCAGCGGCCGACAGCCGGCGCCGGCCCGCTGGGCGAGCGGCGCGCGCGCACCACCTCCGAGTCGCGCCTCCGCTAGGAGAGGCCGCGCTGCCAGCACGGGACAGTGGGCCGCCTCCACTGGCCGGCCCACGGACTGGGCTTCGGCCGAAAATGGGGGCTGTATTTTTTTACTGGGCGCTGTCCTGCTCCAAAACGCATGTATTTTGTATCAGGTTTACACTGACGCGATTCCGCGGCCTTACTCAGGCGTGCTTTGTACGAACACTGTGCCAATCATATCCGGCGCCGCGAGTGCTCTGCTCCGATGCGTACCTACCTATAGGGCAAATCGTAACCTGTCTGGGATTGCGTGACGGCGTACTCGGCTGGTAGCTGCTGTCGGGCGCTGGGCGGTGACGGGCGCCGGCGGTGGGCACCCTGCTGGACGGCCTCGGTCCTGTGTCGAGCCGGCTCGCCGAGACTGGCTGCAGACGTCAGTTCTATGTAACCATCTCAATGACAAAGGACGCTGTCTCAATCTTCATGTATCACTCTGTACGTTGGGATTGTACGGTGTAACTCATTTAGTTCCATGTCTAACATTTTCTGTTTGGGTGGTGTATTTTCTCTGTCGCCAATTATGGGGAGATTGTCTATTCCGGGTCCGTCAGCGCTCAAGCTGTGAACGTTGCGCCTGTGTCGACTGTCCCGTGAACTCGTCAACGGCTGCTGGCGGCCGGAGCGATGCCGCGGGAGTGTCTGTGCCGTCGGGTGCTGCGCGATACAATAAACTGGCCGCAAAAAGTAGCCCTATGAAGAGCAGTTAGTGAATTTTCATAAAGTTCTCCCCACTTTATGCCCTCATATTGGACATAAAGTTGCCCCCTCCTCTTTTACGTTTTGTGTGATATCTCTGAAACCTGATAAGATGTCATTTTCTGATATGGAGCGTTTCTGATGTCACCATGGGCTCCGCCACCGGGGGGGGGGGGGGGGGCGGGGAGAGGGGTGGCGGCGGGGGACGTGTCTCTCAACCAATATTTTACATTTTAACATTGGGTGCTACATGGAAAGAATTGGCTTCAAATGGCCTTCGTCCCCCAACCATCGGGTCGTGACGGAGCTCCTGATGTCACTGAGCATGAAACGCAACGGTGAATGAACTAAGCAGCGCCTGCTGTCATCCCTGACGTATCTAAGTACACTTTCAACTAGTTCGTGATGATGAGTGATTGGTCCTATTTTTTTTTTAATTTAGCTCGATTTTTTGAATGGACGGATTTACAGAGCCTGAGCCCACGCTAAGCAGAGCTTGTTGCGTAAACCCCGAACCCTACCGTCCGATCGCGCAATTCCGGGTAACGGGAGAATTTAGATGCCAAAGTTTAACGTGCTAAAGCCGGACACGGCCTGTCCCACTGAACTGACTTCACCTGGCTGCGGCTGCTCCCACCAACCACAGACCATCCCCGTCAGGAGTCAAATACGGAGCGCCGGAGCGACTCGAAACTGGGCTCTCACTACCGGGAGTCCAACACTCTACCAACTGAGCTACGGGACAGGCTGCTATATTCGGTCCTTATATCTGAGGAAATTAAGAAACGTCAATCTATAATTGGACTTGACGTCACTGTGACGTCATTTCAAATAGGATTGACACCAAATTTGAATAACGTCGGCTAGCTATTTAGGAATATGTGTACAAAGCTTTGTCACGCTATCTCTTCGCTTTGCGACGATATCATCGGAGAAGCAAAGGGAGGCAATTAGTTGCCCCCCCCCCCCCCCCAGTGACCAGCGGATGGTGCGGAGGCCCAGCGGCCACCGGGTGAAAGCCTAAATGTTCCATGCAAAATATGCACAGACTGCCCGGCTAACTGATCAAGTGTGCACTGCAGACCATTACTGATCAACTCTGTTTGGTTTCAGGTCAATTCTTCATCACATTACCACAATGGGCGTCAAGGGTCGTATCGAGAAAACCAAGACCCGCAAAGGGAAAAAGCACTTGGAGAGCCGAGCTCCGAAGCTGATTGAAAATGAGAAGAAACTCATGCTTCTGAAGGGTCACAAGACCAATGCTGTGCTCCAGGAGTGCCTGAAGGACCTGGCCTCTCTGAAGCGACCACACTCGATCCTGCTGAACCGCAAGCGGGACCTGTTGCCCTTCGAAGACATCACACCGGTGGAGCAGCTGGCGGCCAAGATGGATGCTAGCCTGTTCGCTATTGGCTCTCACAGCAAGAAGCGCCCACAGAACCTGGTGTTGGGCCGCATGTTCGATCATCATCTCCTCGACATGATCGAGCTTGGCGTTCAGAACGCCCGAGCGCTGCATGACTTCAAGAACGCCAAGGTGGCGGCCGGCACCAAACCGTGTCTCTTGTTCGCCGGAGAACCGTTTAAGGACAACGACACCTACGTCCGGCTCAAGAGTCTGCTGATTGACTTTTTCCGGGGCGAGCAGGCCACCGCCGTGCGTCGGGCCGGCTTCGAGCACGCGCTCAGCTTCACCGCCAGTCAGGAGGGCGTGCACATGCGCAGCTACCGCGTGACCACCCAGCGTGCCGGCGGTCAGACTCCGCGCGTCGAGCTAGAGGAGATCGGACCTTCGCTGGACCTGGTCCTTCGCCGCCATCGTCTCGCATCCGACGACCTGTTCCGACGTGCGCTGAAGCAACCCAAGGAGCTGAAGACGAAGAAGGTGAAGAACATCTCGGACGGCAAGTTGGGCGCCCAGATGGGCAGAATACACATGGAGAAGCAGGATCTGCGCAAGATCAACACGAGGAAGCTGAAGGGACTGAAGACGGGCAGAGACGCGGCGCTGGCGGCCGCGGAACGCAAACAAGCGGAAGAAGTGGCTGGCTGAGTGAGGTGATGCAGGGTTATGGGGACCGGGATGCGAGCCTTGCGCGGGGTTGAGGTCACGAGAGTGCTCTGTGCGTCAGTGTTGTGTTACCGATGTGCTTCGGGCGGGTGACGGAAGCCGGATGGTGACAGCTCGCGGTTAGTGCTGCCAGCTGCTAATACGGGAAATGCACTGCCCGCTGGAAGGGAACCCGAGGCCGACCAGTTGGAGGTTGATGGACCCGTGCCCAGCTGCATGGTCAATGCGCTTACCGGTGAGTGAATCCGCGACGCCGCCTAGCTTTGGCGAGCGTACGGATCTTTCCCCAAAACTGTTATTCATTCGATGCATTTTGTCAAAGTTATGGCTGAATTTCAAATGTCTCAGTTTGGGGAACTTTGAACTTAATCGAACAGCGATAGAAACTGATCCAAGTCCGTCATACGGTTTCCATTATATCACGAGCATCCTCACTCCTCAGCCATGCGTATTTGGAATAAAAATGCTTGCGATGTCACGTTTCTTTTTGTGTACCGTACCAGTGCCTGATTCGCGACTAAGTAAATGATAGTCATGGTAGACTCAACACTCATTGTTTTAGAACTCATTTATTTTAAGACATTGGACGGCTTTCATTCAGACATAAGCTCTGTACGCGGAAAAATATTTAAGACTAGCAAGACAAGCACCTGAAATAAACAAATGAGATCATATCACGCATAATCTAAAAAGTGCGCATGACTAAGACGTGGACTAGAGGTGACAAGGCTGTAGGCACACTCCATTGACTAGATGTGATTAGTGCATATCTCAAGCCACTAAATTCACCAAAACTTGGGTTTCATCAATTATCCTTTAAACGAGTCGAGTCTGCTTCGTTTACGTTCGCGTCGCTTCTTCAATTTCCTCGTAGTTCGCATGCAAAGAACAAACCCAGTGCACCTTTTGCTTGCAAAGGGACCTAATTCATCTGTCAAAATTCAGTTGAGCTTATTTCGCCGATTGATTCTCTCGCCTGGACCAATCGCCACTCTCGACCTCGTGACGTGTCTCCATCCTGGACCAATCACCGCTCTTAGTTTAGTGACGTCACTGGCCCACGGCGGCGTCCTCCGGCATTTTCCAGCAGAGGATGGCGCCGTCGGTGCCCACCGACACCACGGTCTTCATGTCGGGAGAGATCTTCAGCGAGGAGATGGCAGTGCTGTGCCCCACGCCGGTGAACACGCAGTCGCCCTCGCTGTACCGGTATACCTGTCGGTACACGGGTACACGGGTCAGGTACAGGGTACGCGTCTGAATCAGGTACGGGACGCAGTCACCCTCGCTGTACCGGTATACCTGTGAGGTACACGGGTACACGGGTCAGGTACAGGGTACACTGGATCAGGTACGGGACACAGTCGCCCTCGCTGTACCGGTATACCTGTCGGTACACGAGTACGGGTCAGGTTCAGGGTACACTGGATCAGGTACGGGACGCCGCCCTCGCTGTATAGTATATACCGGTACACCTATCGGTACATAACGGGTACACGATTGAGGTACGGGGTTACGGTGGCACGGAGAGGCACATACCGGCTTAGCTACTGACAGGGGATACAGGTACGGGCACTTGAGTACACTGGTCAAATACTGGAGCACGCAGGTAACCGAGTCGTAACCGAGCGTCCCACCTTGAGCAGTTTGTCGTCGCCTCCTGTGACGATGTATTTGCCGTCCGAGGTGATATCCAGTGCGTTCAGAGCGCCGTCCTGAGCCGCTTCCAGCTCACGGATCAGCGAGCCGTCAAATATCTGGGAGACAAAAGTCAGGCGTGGCCGCGTGGGTGAGATGGAGGGGAGAGAGAATTGGAACAGAGTAGGAAGAAAGGAGAGGGAGGGAAGGGACGCAATCTCTGCGGAACTCGCAAACGTTAGAGATCCATTGGCTAACAGTCAACTCATGGGCGACCAACAGGCCCGAAAACGGTAGGCACCATCCGGCAAAGATATTAAGCGCTCTGCTATTCATAACCGATAATAATTCCACAGATTCCATCACACATGTCCATCTCCGGCGTCCACTCCTTATACAATCTGCACGTCCTCTGAACAGTCCCCGGCCTGGCTCACCTCCCAGTAGGCGAGTTTTCGGTCCGTTCCGCAGGTGATGAGTTGCGCCTCGGACGGGTGGTAGCACACGCTCATGAACAGCGTGTTGGCGAACAGAACAGTCTTACGAGTGAACCGTCTGGGAAGGCATCGCGGGGAGCGTCAGAGGATGTCGGTGACATTTACGCAGCACTCAGACATTTTCCAGATCATCTCAAAGTTCTAGCCGAAATGCTGCTAGAATCAACCAAGGATTAGAACAATATTATAATTCCTACAGCCCTTTCAACCGCCCCAGTAGCGGGCCTAAATGTCACATCCATTACAATGTTGTCTTCGCCTCGGTAATCGAATGTCTGTTCCTCCCGCTCATAACCGACCAGACGTTCCATCTATGATGCAAAACCCGCCTCTCCTAAGTAGCTAACCTGACGTTCCAGATAATACACTCCCCGTCCCTCCCCTGACTACCCACCTGACGTCCCAGATGATGCACGACCCGCCTCTCCCCTGAACACCCACCTGACGTCCCAGATGATGCACGACCCGTCTGTGCTGGCGCTCACACACTCTGCGTCGTCCCGGGTCAGTCTCAGACAGGTCACCGAGCCGCGGTGCTCCTTCAGAGCGGCGCGCAGTGTCTGCGTGTGACGGCCGATCTCCCAGGCGCGCACCTGAGGGGCGAGGTAGGGTTAGAGACTAAGTCGGAGTAGGGGGAGTGCAAAAGTACGTAAAGCCAGGTAAAATAGAAATGAGAAGTCAGGGAGGCCCTTGACGTCTGACGAAGTCCATGAGTGACCAGTTAAGATCTAGGTGAAACTAACGCCTAACGACCTCGCATGATTTTTATGCACTTACATTCCGTCATCGAGAATGAGCTGCACTAGGTACTGTGCGCCTTCAAGCTGCACTACTGTGCGTCTCCAACCCTTACCCTCTCCCTTTCCCGCCTCACCTGTCCCTCGCCTCCGCCCGTGATGAGCAGCTTCCCAGTGGAGAAGGGCGCCAGGGCCGTGACTCCCCGGTTATGAACGTCACGGATCATAAACTTCAGTTTGCCCGACTCGGGATTGTAGCCGCGCACATTACCGTCATTCCAGCCTGCCAGAGGGAGCAGCGGGAGGGGGGCAGTGAGCACACAGGGTCAAAAATTGCACTATTTTTGCAACATGATCAGAGGAAAGCACTATTTCGGGTAACTGGAATCGTCATAATCAGGATATGATGCGACAGATATGAGGGCAAGTCGATGGCAAAACAAAAAATGTATATTAATTCCACAGCTGACCTGTGATAATTCCTAATTGACCTCCTGACTGGCCCGTAGTGACCCGTGACGCGCCCGCTGACTGACCTGTGATGACGGTGCTGCCATCTGCGGTGACCTGCACGCACTGACAGACCATGTTTGGCACGGCCATCCTCATCAGCTCCTGGCCGGACGGAGCGTGCCAGATCCGGGTGTCCTCCGAGGCGCAGGTCACAAACAGCTCCGAACACGCCCTGACAAATACACAAACCGAGTACAAACCAAACAGGTCAGAAACAACTCCGAACACGCCCTGGCAATACACAAAGACAGACTGGACGTCACGAAGAGAATGACTTATGTTGGGTTGCAATGAGCTCACCTGGGGAGGTGCCCTCCTCAACCTATGAAGCCTGGTAATGACATCGCCTGGGAAAGGTGATCTCCTTGACCTCCGTGACCTCATATGGGGTCACACCTCCTTGACCTCTGTGACCTCACCCGGGAAAGGTGACCTCCTCTAGTCTGCTGGTGACCTCACCTGGGGAAAGCGACCTCTCTGACCTCAGTGACCTCACGTGGGGAAGATGACCTCTCTGACCTCCTGTGACCTCACCTGGGGAAGGTGACCTCCTTGACCTCTGTAGGGTGACACGTTCTCAGCAGTGTCAGTCGTATCGACTGAGGACACGCCGTATAGATGTGCGAGTCTGCCGTACCGATGTACACCCGGCCCTGACCGTCTGCCGTTAGAGTGGTGACCCGACCCTGGACCGTGTTACGCTGTATCTGTGGGTAAATATGGGGACGGCTTCAGCTAGGGTGGACACTGCTGGAAGACACAGGAATGACATAGGATGTAAGACATTGGCTAGGACGACCATACCAGCTAGGTCGGCTAAGCGTACCAGACGAGATAAACTACTGTCAACGTAACTCAAACCATTCAGCTCGAGCTGCAGCAGTTGTAAACAGGCGAAATGTCGTACAATCTCGACATAAAACAGTGATAGTGAGCAGCAAGCGACCATCTTCGGGCCATATTCACTCCACCTACGTTACCTACCTCGTCCATCAGTCTGTCGGTGATTCGTTTCATCAGTTTGATGGTGTTCTGCGGTTTCTGCGCCGACTCCTTGAGCCGAGCCACCGTGCCGTTACCGGTGCCCACCAGCAGCTCGTCGCCGGGCAGCATCAGCAGCGACCAGACGCCTGACGAATGGTACGGAAAGACTCAGAACAGGGACCAGAACCGAGCGACACGTCTCTCCAGATATACAGGGGACATTGGGAATGGAAAACCGCGACCACACGTCTCGCCAAAATCTGAACACAGAAACTTAGAACGAATAACATTGACAACACGCGGACGCTGGACCGGACCGGACAAACAGGGGACTTCGCAACGACCAGACACGCCTATTGAGTGCTAAAAGGGGATTGCAGCAGCGAACAAATGCCTGTCGGCATGACAACACACCGGTATATTGTTTATTACACACCCATGACTCCGGCCCCCTCCTTCCCACTCCCGGCATCTCAGTGTTGTCGTACCTCCGGTGTAGGCCTCGCCCTCTCGTGTCCTCCTGGTCTTCTTCTCCGGTACCCGGGCCAGACAGGCCACCAGGGCCGGTACCTGTCCCTCCTGCTGACCCAGCCGTACCTTGAGGATGTCTCCCGACGTGGTACCGCAGTACAGGTACCGGTCCAGGGAATCCACCTGGCGGTAACGGTATCAGGGGCTAAATTACGGGGTACATGGTGTTAACTGAGTGACGTACAGACACAAGACGGTACCGGGAATATACGCAGCATGCAGCCATCGGTAGATCACCGTTCCATGCTTCTATCCTCAGGATACTGAAATCCTTCTCCTCCACGCCACAACCCCCTCCGGGCTGGACAGGCAACTTTATCTCATGCGGGCTGCTCCCTTGGAGCGGCACCGCTGCTCCTGAGGGAGCGCACCCCGTAGCCGGGTGCAGTGAGTGCCTTGGGGCTGGGTGTCCTGACCTCTGGACGGGCTCAGCCCCGGCGACTCACTAGGGTGCCTGCCCAGACCAATGTCTCCCCCTATATCCTATCATCCTCCCGGCTCTGAAATGGTCTCATTGGACCGAAAGGGCCTAACCCAACAAAAAAAAAAAACCATCGGTAGAATGGCTAAACGGAGTCCCAATTCCCAGTACGGCTGCCAGTTACGGTACCGTGCGGAGATTTAACACATTGTCAGAAGCCCATCCGACGTTCACAGTGACCGTCCATATCTGCCCGCGATCACACTAATCGTAATTTTAGGCTCCACCGAGAACCCGGCGTTTACGTAGCCCGATCGATACCACAGTCCACAAACATCATTTATCTACTAACCGCAATAGAATATCATAGCAGTGTATCGCACTTCCCATTGGCAGCATACCACCTTCCCACTGCCCTCTCCCTATCCCATCCCCCTCCTTTTGACTCACCCTCAGACACCTGATCTTGCGTTTGACCTCGCTGACGGAGACGTTTGTGGGTGTGATGAAGCGCCTCTTTCTGTTGATCTTCCACACCCTCAGCGTGTAGTCACCGCCCGTGATGAACGTATCGTCGGCAGTGCTGCAGAAGCACAGGACCAGAGAGTTGCCCTGCGTTGGCTGCGAGGCGGTCAGACCTGCGGACGGACGCGGCAGCAAGGTAAGGGCGTGAGGATATGTATCAGGATAGCCTGGCTAGTGATTATGATACCGGCAATGTCAAGATCGGGGCATGCAATGGTTTAAGCGGTCTCGGGCATGAATTATAGTGTGCGCGTTATTATGTCGTTGCTTGCATAAAGGCTACCACAACGCTACCGATACTTTTCATACGTTCCTCACACGGTTCGTTGCACGATCGATCGTTTTAGGATTGATAGGCTAAACAAAGTTGCAACACCTTACCAAAGTCTTTGCCTGGCTACCCCCCCCCCCCCCACCATCCCCCCACCCCATCTCCGTACCACAGAGCGGGTCCTTGGTGGCCATGTCGTACACAATGACGTTGCCGTCGTCCTGACCGCCCAGTGAGGCCATGAACATGTCGTTGGCAGAGAAAGCCACCGCCTCCACCTTGACCTTGTGCAGGTTGTGAGAGCCGAACCGGGTGAGACCGTCGTACGACCAGACTATCACCTCCGCCTGGGGGGGAGGGGGGGGGCAGTGGTGGAGAAGGGGGAGTAGGGGATGTGTGCGCTGAATATGGGAGCGGAGGAGAGGTAGGCATAAGGACAGCAGAGTGATGACAACGGAATGCTTATTTTAGCCTGTATCGTATAAGAGTAAGTACGAGTAAGAGTATCATACCGACATGCCCACATGCCTATCGTTGAATCCGTAAACGGTTAATTAATTGCGCTGAACGGTTACGTTTCCAATTTTACGTTTAATGTTAACCCATTTACAGTCACCGTTACCGTTAATGACGAGTAAGCCACAACTGGCTTCCTTGTCATTCTCAGAAGCCGTTTAACATATTCGGCTACATCAAACTATACACAAATAACTACCACAACCGGTGACCGTTCCGTCCAGAGTCCCCGACCGACCAACGCACCCTGAATCCCATGAAGTTGATCTGTCCGGAGGCGATGTATTTGCCGCTGCGACTGACGTCCACACAGCTGACGTTGTGGCTGTGACCGGTCAGAAAGTGCTGCCGACCCGAGGACAGCTCCATCACCACCACACTCGTACCCAGCGCGTGAACCACGTGCGTGCCATCCGGGTGCACGTGCAGGCCGCTCGGCACGTGACCTGGTGGGGAGGGGAAGGGCGGGCGACGAAAGTTAGTTTGGCGTGACGTGGACAACACATCAGTCGAGTAAGTAAATACTTAACAGTTTCTTCACCGCCAAATCTACACAGACGCAATCGAACCGATAAAAATTCTAGCAGATAGTGTCATTGAATGAAAATGCATGCTTTGCTTACCTTCGAATCCAATAGCTGATACGAGAGTCAGGTCCCTCTTCTTTACATCATTGTCGGTCGCCATAGTCGTTTCTTCAGTCGGCGATCAAAATCTGTCGACCCAGACTATCACTTTCGATTTGAATTAAACTGAGAAATAGGCCTTAGGCGTAATGGAGGATGCGTCATTGAATTGGAATGCCCCAACGGGTCACGGATCCCAACGAGCGGCCACAACTGGTGGCGTGTAGCGTGCATTTGTATGAGACAGAAGCTGAGTCAGTGAGGACCCAAGGCACAGAAGCTGAGCCAGTCACCAGTGAGGACCGGCAACGGGTAATCATGTCGGTACGGGGTCTCAATTTTCCATCGGCCAGTTTGAGCTTGCCCCATCGTGATCGTACCTCGTACGTTCATGGTGCTGGTCGATATGAGTTACATTAACATAGTTTTGCTTGAACTGATACCAGAAAGTAATAGTGATACCTAAGTGCAGTATTTGGTATTTTACCTGTGAAAGCTGAAAAACTCACCCTCAGCTAATTGCTTTTTGCAACGAATACCAGCTCACACCGATACCGGTTGAATCAGAATAAACTTCGTGCATGAAGCAAGGCCTTTTCAATTTGATCTAAATAGCTGGAAGTTCGTGACTATCGCGTGAATATTTCGGAATCCATTTCGATTCGATCGCTTCCGCCAGCTATCTTGTCCACAGCCATGCAGCTGTTTTGTTTACCAACGAAGTTTACATGATGAATATGGTAGCCTCAGCATCACCATAGCAACGAACTACCAAATCCAGCATTACGTCAATAGTGAAAAATTCCCTTCATAGGGATGAAGATGTAAAAATAATTTGAATAAAAATCTATCAAATTCTATGTACTTATGATTTCAAAGAAGGACTTAAATGTATTTCAATAACTTTTTGCTCGTGTTTTGTATGATGTTGATGTATTGCAAGCAAAAAATAATTTCTACATGAAGGAAAAACGGTACGACATTTGCGACGTATATTACGCGCTTGCTACGAAAACACACGCTTATTTCTCGCCTTGCTGGCCATTGCCGTGGTTCGGGGAAGACGTTCTCCGATTCAATTAATATTCCATTAATAATTTTGCGATTTTTATATCAACCCATCTTCAGCAACGCTGGCATCAAAGTTCTTCGTATATTACGTGAGTTTTCTCTGTACGCGAACGTTTTGTATTGGTATGGTGAGAGCTTGGGCTCCGGCCGCTCTGCTCCGGCTCAAGCTCTGGTTGATCCGTTTCAGTTTTTTTTTTGTCCGAGGAGTTTTGTGCCTGGCTGGTATTTATTTACCTTAGGACCAGACATTGATATTTTGCGTTTTATCAGTATTGCATGAATACTTTAACGAGATTCATATTTTCCCATCTTCAGCAACGCTGTCGCCAAATTATTTCGTACTAATGTGCGTTAGGTATTTGATTAGATATGCTGCTTATTTAACTTTATGCATCAAATCCATGGATCATTTCAAGTTATTTTGGTGGTTGAAGTTCCCTGATCTGTACCTACATTTCTACACACTAGATAAATATTCAAGTTGAAGTGCCACAGTCAGTGATCATGTAGGTACCTACCCATTGAATCACCAGCTTTCAATGAATAGGCACCATTTCTGTATAAACAAATTGAAAGAGCAGCACGTAGGAACTCATCATCAAATGGAGACTGGAGACATCACCAAATTGCCAGGAACATGAAATCTTGAACTCAGCTGTTAATGAACACTGTCATCACATCCCTTGCCATCCTATGTTCACGCAAAGCTCACAGTTTAAGGTTCATGTAGTTAGTTTAAGTTGCATGTAGACTGTAGTTAAGTGAGGACAACTAAAGACATAAGACATCTCATTGGCTGGTGACCTTTATCTGTGCTGTGCTCTTTGAGAAAGACCCCTCAATAGAATTTTATGGACACATGAGTTCTGCTGTTTGATTGACAGTAGACATCTAGCAGGGGCTCAGGGCAGAAGAGTTTGCAGCAGTTAGTGGCTTGCATTGTGCCAATTTCTACAAGAAAGAGACAAAAGGATCTCAAGCATTTGCCTGCCTGTTAGTCCCTTAGCAGAACCATTTGAGCTCTGTTGAGACCATAATACATGGCCAGGTGATGGCTCATCTGACTTTAATTAATTAATTAATTAATTTATTAAATGTCACATCTCTGTCTATCAGTGGTGTCACATTTGGGTCTATCTATTGATCTAACAGAAGTTATTTTGGACCATCATTGGTCCCAGGTGACACTGGTGCATGAGTGTTCATCTCACAGCACCATCCTCTTCTATTGAAAATGTTAGCAAACACTAGCCAGATATTGTTGTATTCTTACGAATAATTTGTTGTGGAAAATACTGCCAGAGGTCTGGTGTGATCAGATAATTGAATCCCAATGTGAATGCATTGGGAGATCATTCCCTTGCACAATTCACACAAGCCAGCTTCACCTGAAGACTGGTCATGACCTGACCAATAAAGTCATCAAATCAATCACTTAATGGAAATAGTGTAGCTATTGAATGAAACCTTTTTTTATTAACCTAATGATACTGCATACGATGTTTTTCAGCAGACCAATAACACCATCTTACATTGTTACAGACGTAGCGATTACATACGAGTGAGTTCTGCAGTATCGTTGCACAGTTTTCTGTCTATGTCAACGATGGATGACGGTGGAGGTCTAACGCTCAACATCTCGTCCGTCAAGACAACGCCGGCCCGCAAGAAAACACCGGTAAGTAAATCGGCATGGTCATTGTTCAATACTCAATAACATCGTATTGTAGCCAATTAACGAGAGGCTAGAGGGAGCCAGTAGACTGAGGCCAGAAATAGGTGGCCATAGTCGCTGACTGATGGAAAGGCCATCGACTCTCGAGGCGTGCTCACGTTTACACTGGTTACTATAGTAAGTTCCTTTACTCTGTCCGGTTATCGAGAGGCATGGCCGTCGGTACGCTTCGTGGAGCACTAGATGAGGAAAGGGGAACAGGTAAGGAACAAAGAGAAAGGGGAAGGAGGATACCCGATACGGAGGACAAAGTAGACAGGATCTTAGATTATTGCTTGCTCACCTTTCTCATATTCGTCGTCCCCAGCAAAGCTCTAATGGTACCGGCTGCGGTAGCGTTATCTGTACTTCAGCTTAGTGTGTAAGTGTATGGCCGGTATCTCAATGACATTTGATGGATCATCGCATCGGAAGCATTTTGGCGTTACCGACTCCATCACCGTGCGTTTTGACATTACTCATTAGGTAATAGGTAATCATTCTGCGCTGCGTTATGTGCATGCTTAACACAATGCAGCGCATTTGTTTGCTCACAAGTCACACGATGAATGTAAAGCTGAAAAACGTGCCATCGCCCTTCAGGGTACTATATCGTTACTAGCACGAGTCACAACCGACTGTTATAGACATGCAATCTTCAAACAAAAAATGCATTATCCAATTCCTTTTCTTCACTTGACTTTCGAAACAAAGTGGTTTGCGGAGCTGAACCGACGACGAATTCCGGCTGCGAGCGATGGAACGTCAGCTTCCTAATCTGTCGCTAGATGGCTCTAGTGGTAACTGCCTGAAGTGGTAGGCTGTACCGCATAGCGTCGTATCGTGAGCTGGCCGCCGCGCCGCAAGTCAGCGGCGTTGATTGCTAATTTTGCTTGTTATCGGCTATCCTAGAGACAAATAAAGGAGATGATCTGAAATACAAGGGCTGAATTCTTGTACACTTCTGCCCCAACATCATGCCTTTTTATTAAAACGTATAACCCAATGGAAAGACACCATAATGTAGCGATAAATGTTATTGTTTAGCTTTGACAGAGACACTATTCTTAAAATGTTTAAAACACCAGATTCATTTATTAGTTTCGAGAACTTTCGAAAGCTCCCGAAACTTATAAATTAAGCTGGTGTTTTAATCATTTTAATAATAGAAAGACGCCACACCTTTTCATCACTGTCGAAAATTTTCGCATCGGATTAAACTGAGTATTGCGGTAATCTGAATCCAGCACTAAAATACATTTAGGGTCATTTATGTGAATTACTTATCGAAGTTGTTCGTCACCATTTTGCCGATTGCTAATAAATATGCAATATGCATGCTGGCTGCGTACAACAAAGTGTGCAATACATGTTTGGATGTCCGACATTTTGCAAAGCGGCATTCAACATTGTGACAGTCGTTAATGATCATCGATCAAACAAGTTTCCCTGTTCTATGACGACTCCGTGCGGTACCCATCGATCAAACGCAGCGCTTGAGCACAGTCGGCGGACCCCCAGCAGTATAGCCCGTGCCCCTGTCTACTGATACCGAAAATCGACCACGCCAGCGACCTCCGATGAGACTCTGAGCGCTCACGACAGCAACGATCGGCAACGATAGTCCAGAGACGGGCCCGCGACAGCTGCGACCGTGTGTGCCGCTCTACGCCGCTACGACCATCTCGATCGATCGACATTTATCTACGAATCATCAGTGGTGGATTACCGGAGGATTGAACAAGAAGATACGATGCTTACGATCTGAAACGACTTGTCTGAGCTGAACGACTCACGAATTCGAACATCGGCGCTTATTTTGAACGAAAGAGGCTCGACCAAGCAGTGGTGGTTCTTATCTACGTGCTGAACTTGTGCCAACGATCTCCGTTTGTGGCCTGGCGCTGACCGATCACAACTTCGGAGGCCATGAGTCCGGTGGGCCGCTCGGCTCGCCACGAGCTGCATGGCGAACAGTTGTACGCCGCCCGCCGCGAGAAGGAATTCAAACAGCAGCAGTTCGACCGGCAAGTGTCCGTCCTGCACCGACAGGCCGCGCGCCGCGCCTGGGAGGACCGCTCTGACCTGAAGCGAGTTGATGCCTCAGGCCGCGCTCGCACGCTGCAGCAGTCCGGCTGTCGTGATGACATGCTGTACGCGCGCCGCTGTAAACTCCGTGAGAAGTTGGAGCGCGAGGAGGCGGCGCTGGAAGCGGAGCTGACGCAGCCGGTGCAGACGGCGGACCAGAGGCGAGAGGAGATGCGCCGACAGCTGGCTGAGCTCCGCGGAGCGCGCGAGCGAGAGCGACGTGAGTTCGCCGAGAAGATGTACGACTACCAGTGGCGACTGGGCTGCGACGAACTGCGTGCGGCCGTTAGTTATCAGCACGCACAGGAGGTGCGCCGAGATCGGGACGCGCAGCTGGCCGAACAGCGCGCGCTGCGTGCCGAAGAGGCCAGTCAGGAGGCACTGCATCAACAGATACTGGAGGAGGACGTTCGTGCTTTCCATCGTGAAGCAGCCGCGCATGTCAATGACGCTAAACAAGCAGAGCGCATGCGTATGGAGGTTCTCAACAAGCAGCAGCAGGCACGCCAGAGCGCCGCGGTACGCGAGCGAGAAGAGAACGCGCGTGAGGCAGCCGAATTGTCCGAGCGGCTGGCCAAAATGCGTGTCGAGGAGGAAGAAGATGCCCGGCGGCGCCGCGAGCAGGACCGCCGCTGCCGTGCCGAGATGCTCGCCGATATGGCCGAGCGACGCCGCGTCGCCGAGGAGGAACGACGCCGCGATTTGGAAGCCGAGCGAGAGATCTGCGCGCGTGATAATGAAGACTGCGCTCGTGAGACGGCTGCCGAGGCGGAGCGGCGCGTGGCGCACGCTCGCGGTATGGACGCCTATCTAACCTACCTGCGCCAAGCGCGGCTGGATGAACAGCGAGCTGAACAGGAGGTGGAACAGCTGGTGCAGCAGGAGGCTGAGGCCGTCTACCAACGACAGCGCGAGGAGTGGCTGGCGGAACGCCGGCGCCGTCAGTGCCTCCTCCAGGAGACCATCGACATCCGGCGCGGACAGGTAGAGGCCCGGCTGCGGCGCGCGCGTGAGGAACGCGCCCAGGATCGCGCTTATCATGAACAACTAGCGCGTGAGCTGGAGCGACTGCAGCAGCTCGAAGAGGAGCGTCTCGAGCGGCTCCGTGAGGCGGAGCGTGAGCACGCGGCTGACCTGCGGGCGCAGAGCGAGTACCGGCGCCGTCAGGAGCAGGAGAGAGTGGAGGAGGAGCGGCGACTGGCGGCGGCCTGCGCGCAGCAGGAGCAGGAGTATCAGGAGAGGCTGGAGCGCTGCCTGCGCGAGAAGCTCTGCGACCGGCCGCACCCGTGGCGGGCCGAGCACAAGCATTATGATGTGCTGCCGGCGCCGGGGACCCCTGAGGCGGCAGCCACTGCACAGTGACGGGAGAGTGTGGTGGAACCGAGGGAGGATGAGGTGGGCGGGGAGCGCAGGCGGTGCGATGGGTCTGAAATGCGATGAGATGAGAGTTGCAAGTTCAGAAATAATGATCGCAGATATATTTCTGTCCTTGCTTCTTAGACCCGTTTTTCGCGTGTCATGTACCATTCCTGAACAGTCAGTTGGGAAACATTGAACCCATCATGGTCCTTATTTTGTTATAGTTTTCGAACTTTGTCAGCTCGAGTTGGTATTATAGTCTATCGTTTAAAACTCATCAATTAATTGGCTGAGAAACTGTCGTCCATTCCCCTTTGTTTTGTAATAAATTGTCCAGTGTCCCTGGAATACCGTGTTCAATCAGTTTGCCTGATCTGTTGAATGATGTCAAGTTTCAACAGTGGCCTATTATAACGTCTAACAAACTCGGTGATGTCGCTCAATTGCTGAAGCCAGTCCTCGTGCTTCGATTATAACTTTTCCATTCACAAGTTGACATTGCTTTTTTCGCTTCATGTAATGTAAAAAAGTGTTTTTAATGCAATGCTTGACGTATGCGTGCCTACTGCCTACCCGTCTGAAGTCGAGCGAGCGTCGTTTTCTGCTTTTTATCTGAACGTGTCGAACTCCAGTAATAAACGCTCATCGATCGACCTGCGTGTTGCAACTAAGCACGGTTATAAGATATACATTGGCACATTTGACGCTTTGTCTGTACGATCTTGATTGGAAAAGGTAACGAATATGACCTTTTGGACGCTTTTCCTGTAGGGAACAATGTTATTGTAGAAATGGGGCTGCTTCCATTTTATTTTTCGTTCGCTTCTGGTTCTGTTTTGGCGCTACCAATGGGCAATGGGCATCGTTGTTTTTTTTTCTCGAAATTAACGTGCTTACTAGCCATCGTTTCTTGCTCCCTTCACCCAACCAACGATACCCCAACGTCTGATAATCGTGCAGCTGATTTACGTTTCGCCATTTCTTTTTCAGAAGGTGCCCAAGGCTCCCTCGTCCTGGGGCTCATCAGAGACGCCCTCCAAATCTGCAGTGTCAACCTCTGCCTCACCTGACTCCCTGCAGCGCAAAAAGGACCGCCTCAAGGCCTCCCTGAAGAAGAAGAAAAAGTCCCCAGAGGATAAGCAAGATGGCGGACGCCCGAAGCCCGCCGACAACAAGCCGTTTTATGCGTCTTTGTTCTCACACAACCCTGAGGTACCGGAGCTTGGTCTGCCGGAGACCAGTGAACCTTCTCAGCCGGATGTGTTCTCAGGAGAGAACTTTTCCGATCTTCAGCTGCATCCACACTTGGTGAGAACGAAATGGGGCAACTAACGGGCGAAAAACTGTAGTAGAACGAGCGTCTGTTTGTGTGCCCTCATACATTTTGCACATTTGTATCTTACATGATGTGACATTTTGTAGGGATGCCGAAACTCTTTGAGCATCGTCCAATCTTTGACCAGAGTTTAGATAAATCGCAAAAATCAGCTTTTGGGCGCCGATGGCCTCGGCCGTCCGGGCTCCCCGAAAACCCCCAAATCATCATACTCCAACTTGACTCCAATAATTTTTTCAGGTGGCCAACGTGACGAAGGCGCTGGGCGGTGCGGAGATGACCCGCGTCCAGCAGAGGGCGCTACCCGTTGTGCTGGCCGGCGGTGACTGCCTGGTCCGGTCACAGACGGGTAGCGGCAAAACGCTGGCCTATCTTCTGCCGGTCATACAGGTGGGTGGAGGACGTGCATGTAGTTAGTTTATAGACGGGAAGTGGCAAAACGCTGGCCTATCTTCTGCCGGTCATACAGGTGGGTGGAGGACGTGCCTGTAGTAGTTTATAGACGGGAAGCGGAAAAACGCTGGCCTGTCTTCTGCCGGTCATACAGGTGGGTGGAGGACGTGCCTGTAGCTAGTTTATAGACGGGAAGCGGCAAAACGCTGGCCTATCTTCTGCCGGTCATACAGGTGGGTGGAGGGCGTGCCTGTAGTAGTTTATAGACGGGAAGTGGCAAAACGCTGGCCTATCTTCTGCCGGTCATACAGGTGGGTGGAGGACGTGCCTGTAGTAGTTTTTTTATAGACGGGAAGCGGAAAAACGCTGGTTTATCTTCTGCCGGTCATACAGCCAGGTGGGTGGAGGACGTGCATGTAGTTAGTTTATAGACGGGAAGCGGGAAAACGCTGGCCTAACACTGCCTGATATATGTTATGCCATGTGATGTAGTGATGCAGTGCCTTTGATGTGGACATGTGTTGCATTCCACCACACTGGCAATGCCAGGACGCCGGCATATTATTTTCCATTATAGGACCCTAGGTAACGTGCACGTCCGATCCCTGTCGTTGTAGCATTGCAAGGTAATGATAAGAGGCGACACTGCAGCGAAGTTTGGAGTGGAATCAATAATAAGAGGCACATTCGGGCGTTTGCCATTTATATTATTCACATACTGCGTCATATTCGCTTTACAGGTTGTGCATTGTACAGTGTGCGTTGTGCAGTGTGTCCCTAGTAACTGGTACGAGGACGAAATTTGTTTTTTGTTTTAAGCATTGCACAGAAAATGCGCAAAATATGAAGATAAGCAGATCGCTTTGAGTTTTTTTGTACTATCGGTGAAGAGATAGCTCAATCATCAGTCTTGAGCTGTTCTTGAAGTTCATACCGCTTCAGCACAACCCTTACAAACCATGACGCTTGGCAACCTCACAAGAACTTATTAATGAAATACTTTAAGTGGACCCATTTTTAGCCTAAAGACTCGCTCAATACCAAACCTCAGCGCGGTCCCATGCCGACGCCTACCCCACAGACCGTTCTGCGCAGCAGTTTTACGTCGGTCCCGCTGGTAGCACCGGGCCATCAAGTCGGTCACTTGCCGGCCCGTCTTCGTGTGGCGAGCGGTGCCAAGGTGCCCGCTCTGTGGGACGCGTTGGAGGCTAGACCCCCGCCTCTGTCTTCGACAAGCAGCGGCTGCGATCCAGGCACCAATGGGCACCACGGAACGTCCAGATCCCATTATAAGATCTGCCGTCTCTCCTCGGCGCTGTGGAGTTTGGGCCTGAATCACCGGAGGGAAGAGTCGCCGGTGATTTTTGAAGACCATCTGAGGCGGGTCGGATCGCGGTGGGGATCAAAAGTGGAGCTACAGTGCTGCTAGAGCGTCAGATAGATCCTGAGCGAGCAGTATTTGAACGGAAACGCCACTGAACTTTGATTTTCAAGCCTGACCTCTGAGAAAACGACGTAACGACGTTACTTTATCTAAAACCATCATCGGCTTCGCTCGGGTGTGATCCGTGCCTTGTTACCACCGACTTCAACCAGCTCCAGCCTGACTATCAAACCAACGTTTAGCTGTTCTCCAACCCTCACCCCGGTTGACGGATCTCTCAGCCGATTCCACTACACTACAGCCCTCCCTCTGTCAGTCATGGCGCTGACTACCTGTTGTGGCTGGCTGGACCTACGCCGAGGTTCCTTAGCCATTGGCATCACACACTTCATCGTCAGTGCGCTCGGCATTCTTCTTACAATCATATTTCTGGCTATCGGTCCAGCTATTCTGCTGCGTCCTCTGCTGCCCGGGAAGGTCGACTTCGGCATCGCAGTGGCTCTGCTATTTGCCCTCAGCGCACTGCTCTGGATTGCGCTGATCATGTCCGTGCTGATGCTGATTGCCAGCGCTCTGCTGATTTACGGCGTGCAGACGGCCAGTGAATGTCTAGTGCTCACCTGGATGATATTGCACGGAATCATGCTCACCCTCAGCACCATAGGTAACCTGTACCAATTGATTGCGACCATCTCCAACGGTTTTGCGGCGCCGATCGTCCTGGCTGTGCTGTCGCTGCTCTGGGTGGGCGTTCAGTGGTACTGGTACGCGGTGGTGGTGTTCTTTTACCGCTCGATGGGATCTGCGAGGGAGCCAGCGCGGAAGGTGGGATCGGCCCGTGTTGAGCCGCTGGCTAACTCAGTGTCCGGCAGTATTGAGCCTTAGGAAGGAGGATGGGAAGGTGAAGAGCTGTGTAGAGGAGGAGGAGGATGGGGCCTGGAGGGCTTTGGGAAGGAGTAGGGGTGTGTAGGAGCTGTGGGGAGAAAGAGTGAACATTTAAGGGGTGTAGGGAAGGAGTGGGCGACGTACAGGAGTTGGAGAAGGGAGTTAAAAGCGTAAAGGAACTGTGGTAAGGAATAGGGGGGAGGGAAAGGGAGTTGTAGAACCTTCAGGAAGTAAGGGCGGACTCTGGGAGGTGGGGCTGTCAGTGAATTTTTTAGGGGGAGTGGAAGACCTAAAGGATCCTTACTTGGGATCAGGTGGGAGTCCTGATGAACTTCTAGACGGAAATTTGAAGTAAGAGCTTTTCGAGCCGTGGAGTGAAAAGGGGAAACGGGACGTGCCGTGAGCGTTGAAGGAGGGGGGGGGGGGGCTACTCGGAATTTGACACCTTTTTGCCAAGTTGGTCTTATGGCCATGCCAGAAGAGGGGAATGGTGTGTGATCTTGGGAAGGGTAGCTGCTAATGATGGGAATCGCGTAGCTTTCTTTGGCCCCCACGGAGGCTTTCAAGTAACATTTAATCACAATGGGGAAAGGCTGCAACTTTTGCAGTTGATATGCAGCGATCCCGCACTCTTTTTACTTGGAACTTCCTTGTTTTGCAAGGGTTTCAGTGGCTGTTTTCAATGGACAAGTCCTGCGATCAACCTATACAAATCAAGCATTCGAGGAGAGCACTACCTACGTATGTATAGTCACTCCCAAGTATATAACTATTTCACCAAAATGTTACAAGCTGGCTACTGAGTAACTCTAGGCTAGGTTAGGTCAGGCTAGGTGGAACAAGGAGTCGCTGCAAAGGTTGTCATGTGATAAGAGTTTAGCTAGAGTTTAAGTACCTATAAAATATACCTATAAAATAAGCTTTGAAGCTTTATAATAATATTATGCACTGAGCGTTAGTATATGCGTCTAATAGACGACAGTGCCTTTATGTGCACCATAGTTTGAGGATGTTAGCACGTGTTACAATGACAATACGCATCAGTAGATCAAAGCAAACAGGCTAAATGTTCATGGTGTTATCACATTATCATTGTACCTGTTATGCGTTTTACGCTGCGATGCGACAAAAAAATTGTGGCTTATTTGGCCTCTGCTGTATGCCAATGTTAATACAAACATATGCACCGTTAATATCCCAATTACGCATTGTCATAAGGGGGTTTTATCGCGCAAACTGCAATGTTTATTGTGATATAGCTGGAACTTTGTTTTATCGGTTTCATTGATTAGTGTTCTGTTGTAGCGATTCATTTCCTCGTTTTCATGCTCGTACAACTTCGCTACAGCCATTACTGAAGTTTTTTCCTCACTGCTTTTTAACGGTTTACTCTCATTCGTCTGGCAGTTTCTTGTGTCAGTTAGCATTACCTATGGGAATAGGACGGGTCTTTGCGTGCGATATTCATGACAGCGCATTGATGATGACCGATTGAGCTTAGCTTTGTCTTTCGGTTGGGAGTGATTTACCTGCTGTAAACCACTTGACTATCGTGCATATTTCTGGCGAGTGAAGGATGGCGAGTTGTATTATGATTATCATGTGTTAACTGCATTTTATTGGGATGTTTTAATGCACGCAAAGTGTGTAAAAATAAATATATGGTTTACCAACAACCACCAGCTTGATGCTTTTTAAAAAAATGATTTGGAAATGAACAAGTCGGCACTATTGTTTTGTCATCCTACTGGATGGGAAGCCAACAATCCAGGCAATTGACTTACTTCTATGTCCATAAGCGTAATTGCTTTCATATTTTATGACGTTATGTGATGTTTGATGCATGTACTAAATAACATTACATAATGATTTTCAGACAAGAGCTTCAAATGTTTCACTGGAGCGCAGGGCCCAATATGTTTGTATGGCAGAGCCTGATGTCTTTCTGTGGCATGTTTGACACTTCACACGTCTGTGATATGCTTACATATTTTTCCAAGTTTTATGAAATATATTGGCATTATACTGGTAAGACTGTGATATGCTTTTATCACAAGGTTCTTCCCACATGATAATCTTATCGACAAGACCTGTAAGCGATGTTTTATGCATGGATTGTCAGCAGGGTGTTTCCATGACTCTTGACCTGTTTGTCTTTTAAATCTGTGGCGCGCTTTTGCGTTTATCGGCAAGTTTTCTGACTTGTTTGTTTATTTGCAGGGTTTGCAGGCGATCGAGCCTCCGGTGACTCGGGAGTCGGGGCTGTACGCTTTGATTGTGGTACCCACGCGCGAGCTGGCACTGCAGACCTACAATTGCGCCGCACAACTCATGAAGGTAATACCTTTATGTTCATACTCGTTGGAAAATAATTAACTTTGAATGGTGCTACGCGCTTTATTTCAACGTCATTCAACTATGCAAGTGTCAGTACCCTGACAGGGTTCATTGAACCTTGCTAGTGGGAGTAGTTGGTGGGTTAAAGCCATTGTTCGAAGCCTTTTGAAGTATTTCAACGTAGCTTCTCCGTTTAACACCTGTTATACTCCAAGCTGTTCCCGACTGAAGTTGTTTATCCCGTTACCATGGAAACCACACTGACGCAACGGCGTCGTCGGGGTGATATCTACGACAAGGTCCTGACCCCCCCCCCCCCTGGGATCCGGGACCCTACGACCCTGCGACGTTGCCATGCAGCGTTTCTTTAATCGGGCATTCCTGAACTTCTAAAACTCGCTTCACAAAAGGCGACTCTACTAGCTTGAATGGGAGGAGATCTTTCAATTCAGTGCTGCGTTCTAAACCAACAGAAATTGATTGGGCTCACAAAGGTAATGCTCGAAGCCGACTGTAACCTATCCCACCATCTATATAGAAAACTCAGCCCTTGTGAAGTTCAGTGTCACACCTTTGTCGCTTTACCGCCAACTGAACAAACCGCTGGTGGAATGACATCCATTCAGTGTTGCGAACCACTGTATGTGGCTACGCTCACACGATATATGTCTCGAAACAGCCTTCCGAACTTTCTGGCTTATATAACTGGGAAACGACAGTCCCGCGTGCCATTGTCCAAACCAGATAATGCAGCCAAGTGTTGTAGTTATTCCAGATTTGCGGTAGCGCTCAATTTTAGCCATCCATTTTAATGCTCATTTTCCCAACCGACGTTTGTGCTGTAGCGCGGCCTTTGCACGGGTCGGAACATTCTTCTTATCGCTGTTGTTAATTAGTTATTTGAAAATATTTCACATGGGATTCGAGAGTCCGAGACGGTCCTAAAATATTCATAGCATAACGTTGTAGTGACCTTTCGCTCAGCGATGCATGTCATATTATGCTAGCGATGTAGTCTATTAGCAAAACTGGCGACAGTGTGGGCGTTATCGGGCTTGTATGTTTCCATATGCCATGATGGTCTCATTTTGTGACGTGCTAGCCATTTGAGGGCGATGGGAACGTGCCGGCAAATCGACTTGACCTGACCCTGCTAAATGACCTTACCTAACCTTATCTAATAGGTTTTCGTGCACTGAACGCCTGGTAACCTGCCCCTATTTGACCTGGCGCTTTAACACTGTGATGTCTAGCTACCTGATCTGATGTGAGAAGGGCTAAGCTGATCTCCACCTGACCTGACCTGACCCGACCCGGCAGGCATTCGTTCGTCTCGTTCCCGGTTACCTGACTGGCGGCGAGAAAACTCTGGCAGAGAAGCGTCGTCTCCGCCGCGGTCTGAACCTTCTCGTAGCCACACCGGGCCGACTGCTGGCGCACATCGCGAGCTCGAGGAACCTCCGTCTAGGAGCGCTGCGGTGGCTGGTTCTGGACGAGGCCGATCTACTGCTCGATATGGGATACGAGAAACACGTTAGGAGGTGGGTAACGACTAACGAGGCATGGTGGGTGGTGGTAGAATGTAAGGTGTAGAGTTTTGTCAGAAGGACAGTGGATGCGGGAACACGGTTGGTGATGGTAGGATGGTGGATGTTGTTGGGACCAGATGATGTGGAGTTGAAATGTTGGAACTTGGAACCAGGATGGGTTCAACCAGGGTTCAACGGTTGGTGTCGAACTAAAATTTTGGCACAGAGGCTTTCATGAAAGCTATGCAGACCCGGAAATTTAATGGAAATTTTAGCATCCGGTCTAATGAATATGTGTGTCAGGAGCTGGAATGAATCGAAGTGGGGTTTTAAGTGAGCGTGTCAGTCGCACGTCCACTCTCGCGTTTTTAACACCCCCCGTGCGCTGTCTGCCCTTCCGTCTTCCCGTCTGACCGCGCCACTACCTGTCCCTCTGCGCCAGTATCGTGGAGGCGGTACTGGAGCAGCGCGCCCCGCGGACCTCGGGTCCCCTGCAGACCGTACTGCTGTCGGCGACTCTGGATGATCGGGTACAGAAACTGGCAGGTGAGGAAACTAGGGGATTGGGAGCATTGTGCGGTGTAGAAGGGACAAAACGGATCCTTTATTGGCCTCTGAGTTAACACGTATGCTGTAGATGCTAATGATGGGCTTGATGAGGACAGGTTTCGTCGGAACTCAAATTGGCGATTTTTAAACTTCAGGGTCAGTGATGTCGAGGTCAGTCGTAATTTGTTTCTTCATCGATAATTTATTTTTTGGCCTTTAAGTTTCATTATAAACAGTTTGTTTTCTGCAGTTTGTTGCTCGATTTAATGACTTCTGACCCGGGAGTCATTCTCTGACACCTACTTTGCCCGATACCTTGCAGGTCTGAGCCTCACGGACCCCACCTTCATCGACGCCTCGTCGGACGGTGGTGACACCTCTCGGCCGGAAGGCGAACTAGTGACTCCCGGTCAGCTCCGCCAGTTTGTGGCGGTAGTTCCTGCCAAACTCCGTATGGTGGCGCTGGCATCGTTCGTCCTCTGGAAATGCTCTGTGAGTAAGAGTTCTCATGAATAGAGACCGAGCTTGAAGTTTTCTTTTGTATCGGACATTCATTTTTTTTCTGTCAGCGTCCTTCGTAGGACTGGGTCCACGAATTACCTGTAAAAGTAATAGTATTTTTGTATTGCTCGTAAGGTAACCTTTTTCCCTCGTTAGGCCCATCTTGCTCTCCATTTATTTTCTCTCGCTGGATTTCGTTGAGTCGTCTAATATTACCTCGAAGAATTACAAGTATGTTACAAATGCTAAATACTCCTTGTCACATATCTCTCGCAATGACATTGTATGTCCTCCCCTCACCTCAGACTCGAGATGAGTCCAAGATGATAGTGTTTATGAACACAAACGACATGGTGGACTACCACTGCGCCCTGTTCGGAGCCTGCCTGCCCGGCCGCGGTCTGACCGACCTCAAGATCTGCAAACTGCACGGCAACATGCCGCAAACGGTACGGTACGCGGGCGATAGGGTACGGTACGAATGTACTGAGCTGGTATGATGGGACCTGGGCATTGGATAGAGCTGGTATGGAGGAAATTCAAATTTATTAAAGTATGTGTGTTAGAAGAGGCTGGATAGCCATGCCTCTAGCTGACCCCTGACACTGTCTTGGGTGACAATGGTTTACAATGACCCGTTGAATTTGTAATTCACGGATACCGTATTGTGTGGTTTATAACTGTCTCACGCCTCACAAACACTGTTGGTGTCCATGTTTCAGGACCGGACTGGAGTGTTCACAGAGTTCCGAAAGGCTCGCTCCGGACTCCTCATCTGTACGGTAAGGACCGCGCTCCATCTGCACTTGATCAACGTTATTTCTGCATTTTTTTTGGCGGAAACAGTGACATCGCTGTCATTCCTGTTTTACTGTTAGATGTGTTATCCATCGCCGCATGTTAAATGTTTTACTGAATTGCTGGCTCGCGGTAAATGATACCATCACGCTAAATAATTCATCGCCGCTATATGATAATATGATATATATGATGCTGTATATGCCGCTGTATATGATGCTGTTTGAAGGTTCCCAGTATCTAACTCACCCCCCCCCCCCTCCCCACACGTGTGTCAGGACGTGGCGGCACGTGGCGTGGACCTGCCGCACGTGCACTGGATCGTCCAGTACACCCCTCCCTGTCGGTCGGCCGACTATGTACACCGTGTGGGACGGACGGCCCGCGCCGGAGGCACGGGGGCCGCGCTGGCCCTGCTGACTCCGGCAGAGACGGGGCTGGTAGAACTGCTGAGGGAGGGCGGATTGAGGTTAGTGCGGCGGGTAGGTGGTTTGGCTGGCCTGGCGGAGAGATCTGTTTGGAAGGGATGGATATTTGTATCAGGCCCTGGTCGGTCAGGGCGAGAGGGGAAGAAGGGGATATTCTGAGGGACGGCGATCTTACGTTGGTCGGACGGAAAGGTGCGACAGTTTAAGGTCAAGTCAGTCTGGCATAGCGAATATGTTTGATGTGTACATTTACAACAAACGTGTTGACTGACAACATTCATGGTATGCAAACTTTGGAAATTTGTCCTGTTAGGTTTCGATTTTCATGTTTTAATTGTTCAGTTCATGTTTCGCCTACTTTTAAACTCTACCACGTATCTGCCTTGCAAGACCCTGCTGTCGCCCCGGGCCTCCCCCCCCCCCCCAGACCCACCCTCTGACCTTTCCCCCTCCCCCGCTCAGTGTATCAGACATGAGCCTAGAGACCCTGCTGTCTCCCCTGGCGGCGTCGCGCGCCGGCGGTCGTCCCACCAGCCTGGAGGAGGCGGCCACTCAGCTGCAGCTTCACATGGAGGAAACGGTGGCCCATGACAGACAACTGGCCGATATGGCCAGACGAGGTAGGGAATGGGTCGGGGGATGGTGGGAGGGACGGTGCTTTCGTGGTTTGGAGCGGGTTTTGGGAGTGGGAGGGATTACTAAATATGAAACTAGCGGGGGTTGGTGGGAATGAGATTACACGCAGGGAAGGGCGGTTCTGGAAGATGGGGAATTACACGCAGCTTTAAGTGGAGAAGGAATTGAGATTATTTTCGGTACAGTCAACGGAACGAGTCGGATGGTAGGTTTCTTGTACGATGGAATGGTCGTGTCGGTGGACTGGAGGTGTCATGCGATATGGATTGAGCTCCGGGTCGATAGAATCAAATGCGATTTATGAAGGAGCAAGGCGGAGGGGGTTACATGCAAAATAGACAGCGGGAAATCAGAATATGATGAGCGGTATGAGATAAAGCGGACGGTGGGATGAAGAAGATAACATGTGGTTCCGTGCGAGCTATCCGTCTCACCCCCCCCACCCTCCGCCCACAGCGTTCACATCTCTAACGCGGGCATACGCCACCTACCCGGCCGAGATGAAGGCCATGCTATCGGTGAAGACCCTCCACCTGGGCCACTACGCCAAGAGTCTGTGTCTGAGGGAGACGCCCACGGCGCTGGGACGGTGGCGCGGCGATCAGTCCAGAGACCCCGCGGCAGCCAGACTCGGCAAACGGTAAACAAGGATGGGCGGTACTGGCTGGGAGGGAAGAAGGTTGGGTATGCTGTTCCCTCGTATGAGGGAAAAGGGTTTTGCTGGTTAGTGGCATCAAAGAGTAGGGGATGATGTGTTTTGGTTACGGTAAATTGATGCGTATTGCATACTGCCTTCTTAGCCACTACGTATGGCTAATATCAAACCAGGGTACAGGATTTTGCTGGAAGCCGGTTATGCAAGGATTATGCTGCATTCAGATATGATCTGTTAACCTTTACTGATCACGATCTGTTTGTTTCAGCGGTGAGAAGCGTTCGGCAAGCGACGGGGCCGTGCGGCCGCGAGTTCGAATCCCGCAGCCGACCGACATTTCAGAGTTCCAGAGCGGGCTGGACGGTGGCGCTGGCGTGGTGCGAAAACCGCGCAAAAAGAAACAGAGGAATACGTGATCGTGTCAAAGGGAGGCGAGGCATGGAGCAAGGTCACGTGATCGGGTCCGCCGAGCGTGGAAAGGCAGGGTTATGTGCCACGTGACAAGGCTCGGGTGGATGATGGTGTCCACGGGAAGCAAGTCCACCAGGAGTCGGGCCGTAAGCGTTCTCGGAATCACATGAGATCGTTGGAATGTTTCTTCCATCTCGGGCAAGGCTGATGACGATGAAGGCATGTATCTGAGGGCCTCATCCCAGCCCCACCTATCACGCAGTCCCCGTTACTGGGCATTCCCATTGTCCATCCACGAGCGGTAACTGGGGGCAGACAGGGGAAAGCAGAGGTTACGTACCCCATTGGGTTCAGCCCGCTTCGTCAGTATTGCTGAGACCCTGGCTGTGTGGGCCAGTCTGCTGGCATCCTGCTGTTGATTGGGTGTCTAAAAGATGGCGTGTCTCTTGGACGAGTGGTTTTGCTGTTGACGAGTGAGGATGTTTTGCGCGGGGGTCGCTTGCCCAGCTGCACTGTGGTTACGATTGATACATCGTCGTGTCTTATGAAATGTGAAATACGTTGTGAACTAAGCGTGATGTTTGGAATATATGATGGATTCTGACCGTCATGACTATATGCTCTCTTACCTTCCCTGTCTTTCAAGCTCAGGCTCCGAGATTATATAACGAACGATAGGTATACACTATCGTTGTACTAACGTTGCGACGAAAAGGACGCCCTCTCATGTAAAACTTGTCTATGGGCCTTGATTGTAAAAAAAAACCTGGGGTGTAGCGTGCCATTAACTGTGTAACGGTATAATTGTTTACGTGCTTTGTGTACACTGCACAGCTGCCTTTCAGTCCACGGCATCACAAAGCCCCTGGAAGCGCCATTCACGTATTTTTCCCCACCTCGCCTCCCTAGCCCCTACTCTTCCCACCAACACCCCACCTACTTCCCCTCTCCATCTCCCCCACTCTCCCCACCAACACAGACACTCTGTCGCGCACGCGGGCCGTGTATTTCCACCCTACTTCTTCTTGCTGACACCAACGGTGCGGCCGCGGCGGCCGGTCGTCTTGGTGTGCTGTCCGCGCACGCGCAGACCGTAATAATGACGCAGACCGCGGTGCGCGTGGATCTTCTTCAGCCGCTCGAGGTCGTCACGCAGCTTGGAGTCGAGCTGGGTGGAAAGCAGCTGGGAGAACTTGCCGTCCGTGTGGTCCTTCTGCCTGTTGAGGAACCAGTCGGGCACCTTGTACTGGCGCGGGTTGGACATGATGGTCACCAGCTTCTCGACCTGAGGCGAGAGACGGTGGGCACGTCAGTCGGGTCAGTTCGCAGTACAGATATCCAGGAGGGGGCGGGGCGAATGATCGATAACGAAGACAAACCCACACTCGTAGGCAGTCGATGAAATACAACAGGAATGAGGAGGGCAGCTACAGCAGCGATTTATTAACTAACATAGCATAGTTCACACACGTTTTGGCATATTCCATTCGGCTGATTATTTTCCCAGCAAGTTTATATTATAAACCTGGATTATAGTTTATATCATAAACCTCGCCAGTGATCACGGCACAAGGAAGCATGAGGCGTGAAATCGAATAGACGGTTAAAGATATCTTCAGCAAGATATACGAAAAGGGAAGTCCCTCTAAATTCTCTCCTCCCCACAGCAGAAACGGCGGGCGATACAGTTCCAAGAAACGTTCATTAGCTAAGATTACACTAAGTTCAAAATGATGATCGACATTGCAAGGTATTTTATCATCAGATATCAGTTCTCAAATCTCAACTGAACTGAACCCTTCAGGTTCAGACTGCAACAACACATTTCATGTTTGACAAGTTACAGGAGAAGGGTTTGGTCAAAGCCAGCTTCACTTGCTCAATTACTTTGCGTTATTCAAGAAAAGCTAACCGACCCTTTTTAAATGCTCCCCATTGAACGAGAACACGGCGGACCGCTCCCTCGGACGATCACCGCCGATCGCCGTCGAGTGATCGCCGTCGCCGCGTCTTACCTCCTCTTCGGACAGCTCTCCGGCACGCTTGTTGAGGTCGATGTCGGCCTTCTTGATGATGATGTTGGCGTAGCGACGACCAACACCCTTGACGGCAGTCAGGGCGTACATCACCTTGGTGTTGCCGTCAATGTTGGCGTTCATAATACGCAGAATGTGCTGGAACTCGGGCGAAATGACGAGCGACTGCGGGGGAGGAGAGCAACTGTCAGCAATTGGCAAAAAGAAAATATCGTGCATTCTACTGATAACTGAATGGCATTACTAGAACAGCCAAGTTAGTGTTTTCCTAAGTCATTCTTAGCATGGGATGAATTTTGTTGCAAAATGGGCAGCATCCCCCCCCCCACACACACACACAAACTTGAGCTTTCATAAACCACAGTATCTGCTTTCCAGTTCAAACAATGCATATTGGGGCAAGGAGAAAGGATGCTATTACTGAAGGGTGAGAATTGTGTTCCTTTCCATGCTTCCCGTGCCCTGATTGTGAATTTAAAATGGTGCTTATTAGCTATTTCTGCACCAAATATTGTGATCATCCCAAGAGGCAAGAGAGGACACCCAACCCAACCCAATCTGACTAAACTCCACCTTGCCTTTTGCTAGGGGTAGAAGTGTTTGGTAGGAATAAGCTGTAGGATAAGGAAAAGTTGTTTAGGCCAGGTTTGGTAGGCTCAGCTCAGATTGGGTTAAATCAGGTGATCCCACCTAAATGAGTTGCCTATATTCATGTCTGCTGCACTAACAAGCGTTGTTTTCAGTTTCAGAGGATGGAAAACAAGGACAAGGGATAGCAGTGGTAGCAGATCATCCAGAAGGTCCATAGAATGAATCATCTTATCCTGAATCAAAACTTCAGGATAGCTTTAGACATGCATCAAAGTAAGGCATACACTCATGGAATATCATTCCTTGAAGTAACTATACCAATTTCCCCAAATAAGTTTTTTCCTACAGTTTGACTTTTGTGCTTAAAATGATAAATGAAAAAGGAATTTTAAAAATACTTTCATACAAAAACAACCATTTTCTACCTTAGGTGGAGGCTTAGGTAGCAGTGTTTGCAGAGGAGGCTTATTAGGTGTTGCCCAATCAATAATCATAGTCCTCATAGATCAAACTTCAAACCAACGGCAGGCTGATTAGTTGATGTTGGCCTCTGCCAGAGGTAGCTGCCTTTTTGGCATAATTCTACCATAAGGCACCACATTTGTGTGTAAGGTACTTATTTTGGTCAAGATTAAGGCTAAGGTTATGGTTAGGTTAATGAGCTTGGAGTAGACCAGAGGGGTGTTCACGGGCACCGCACACTGCTGCGTGCGGTGTGTGCGGTGCATCCAGCAGGCGTGGGGGTAGGGGATGGGTAGGCGGTTCTGACGTCACGGCTGCGTGCGGTGGACGGTCCGCTGTGGCCAGTCCCGACCGGCCACAGCGATCGCCGTGTGCGGTGTGCGGTGACGGAAGGCTGACGTAGGGACGCAGTGGGCGGAGCTTCAAGGCTGTGTGCGGTCCGACCGCTCACAGGGCCCGTGAACAGGGTCCAGGGCTCTACTTAAGCTACTGGTTTTGAGAAATTAAGATATTGGCACAGGGTGATTGTTGCCATTGGGTCATAAAAGCTCCTGATTTCTGCTAGTCTCTGCTTTAACCATAAAACTGCTATTTCACTTCAAAACCCTATGTAAAGTGATATATTTTCTTTAAAAAAAAACTCAAGCCATTTTAGAACAACACAGGGCATAAATGTCTTTGAAGATAGCAAAACACATGCAACACTGCTAAAGAGTCCACAAAAGAGTAAAGCATCTATAATATTGCTTGAAAATATTACTTTAGAAGTGATTATAAGCACACATTCTAAAAAAAACAGCCTAAATAGCACAGCAATTTCCACAAGATCTTGTTGGCGGAAGGGGTTCTTAGGGGTAAAAAATAACTACAGCGTGATGCAGATTTTCATTTTGCTTAGGGTGTTGCATTCCCGCGCACAGCATGACGCTGTTAGGCTGAGTTGCTGTATCGGTGCATCGTTGTACAAGAAGTAGAACAGGAGACACCCGGTTGGGAATGGAATTGCTGGCCTTTTATTGCAGCCATTCATATGAAAAGCATACCTTACTAAAATTTTCTGCAAAACATATATTGATATGCCAAGATTGGGGAAGATTTGAAGATTCATGGGAGTGGTCAGCCATCCAGTATTCCTACAATAAGGGTTGCTGACTTGTGAAACAGCACCTGGCTGATTAAAAAAATATTCAATCATCGTTGAACGAGTCGTGATATCAAAAATAAAATAGAAATTACGTACCATGGCTGCTGTTTACGGGTACGAACCACCGGAAAAGGACGACGCAGCGTTGCCGTCTGTGAATAATATTGTTTGTAATACCTCTCCTAAAACACTGCAATATTGGCAAACTGCTAAGCACATTGATTCTTGCAAGCCCCAAGGCTATAGGCAAACGGAGGCAAATATGCAGGCAAACCCTTGGTGCCAGCCTGCTAGCAAACATGACAAGCTGCAACGAATGCAGTGCATTCTTGGGTGCGAATTGCGAAACTTTACATACCTATTCTCCGGGTGGCAAGAGGGTAAAACACTGCATCTCTAAAGAAAAGTGGGATCTTGCTTCTGACGTAGTGCCATTCAAGCTGACAGAGACGGAGGTGAGAAAAAAGGCCTTGCGTGGCCTTCTTTTCCCGTTTTAGTGGCTGGTTGCACGTCAACAATTTGCTAGATACATCATTCATGAGTCGAGCGCTCCCCTAAAAACGGCACGGCGAGATCCACCCTTTTTCAACCGATCTGTATTAATCATAATTGCAACTGCAAATGGTGCTGTAGGGCATGCACACCATGAAGACAATGCTGTGTTATCGCCAGACAATGTTTGTTCAATTCCAAGCTGCTTAGCATATGTCTCGTTTCTTTTATTTCACATACTTATCGACTCCACGCCTAGTTGTCAACGACATAGACTTAGACAAACAGCAGGCACTGTTTACAAACACAACGTGCGACATATGTGTAATACCCAGAAGCACAAGCAGCACAACAACGGAGTGGCGGAGCGGAGAGGAGTTCAATAACAAATTTTGAATATCGCAGTATCAAATGCTCTTAAAACCGGAAAATATGAAATGCTGATAGCTGTCTATCACACGTGCGCTAATGAATCGCCAAGAAATATATTCCGCACACGTAAAGTCACGACAGCACATCAGTTTTCATCAGGGATGCGGAGCCGGAGCCGGAGTCGGAGCCGGAGCCGCCGGAGCCGGCATATTTTGCCCGGAGCCGGAGCCGGAGCCGGAGCCGTGAAACAATATAGCCTGGAGCCGGAGCCGGAGCCGGAGCCGCCAAAAAAGGGGGCGACTCCGGCTCCTTTTTATTTTTTGAAGAGGAAAAAAATAATTGACCTATGTAGTTCGGTTTGACAGTATAAGGCAGTAAAACATATGGTAAGTACGTCATGGGCCATCAAGTGAATGAAAAAAGCCGAATATCCCCAGCATCCCACAGTACGCAATCAACTTCCTGTCTGCTCCCCCCCCCCACGTCTACTGCATCCCCAGAACATGAGGACCGGTCATCAGGTGACGGCCATTGTTTTGAAGCCAGTGCAGTGGACTGCGACTCCCAGCACCGTCTCTTCCCCCCCACCCCCCCCCCCACCCCCAATGCAGCCGAGATGGGTGTCAGCTTAGATGGTTCAGTGAACTCCGATTCGTGGCGACTGCGTTTCCAATGTCCTTTCCAATGCTTTCTAGTCCTTTGTTCTGCCAGTTCTCTCCGAGGTGCGTTTGCGCGGGGACGCGGTGAGCCGGTCATGGCATAGAGTAACGCGGCCGTATAGTCATAACATTTCGCCACGTGCTTATATACCCTGTTCGCTGATTGCATGTGCTGTTGAGAAAAATAGCCTTAGTTGTTAGTTGTTATGCAAATACAGAAGCTACGTGTACCAATCCAATTTTTCTTCCACCCGTATTTAATTGATTGCATAGGAGATGTACTGAGTCGGAGCCGGAGCCGCCGGAGCCGGACCATTTTACTCGGAGCCGGAGCCGGAGCCGGAGCCGCCATAACATTTCACCCGGAGCCGGAGCCGGAGCCGGAGCCGATTTTTTTCTCCGGAGCCGCAGCCGGAGCCGGAGCCGTCTGAAATTTCCACGGCTCCGCATCCCTGGTTTTCATCATGTCACGACCAGCCACAAAAGGGTATTTTGTGGCTTATCATGGAGCTAGACAGGTGAGTTCATGGAACGCGAATCATGAAGATCACCACATAGTCAATACTTCCGGTAAGGCTAGCTCTTTCGCACACGTCTCGGCAAAATCTGAACACCCTTCTGGAATCGGCCCGGTTGGCCGTCAAACCCTCGAACACGATTCTTATTACGAGGCTTCTTAAACTTTTTAAAGTCCTTGAGTTGGTCCACGTTGGGCAGCGCCAGGCCGCTCTTGCGCAGCGTCTCCCGCTCCTGTTTCTCCGCCACGCGCTTCCTCTTAGCCTCCTCCATCAGCAGGCGGTAGTTGGTGGCCTCGCGCGGCGGCGGCTTGGCGCCCAGACGCACCAGCTTCTGGCGGCGGGCGTCGCGGCGTCGCGCGCGAGACATCCCCTCCAGGCCTAGCTGGAACACCTCGTGACGCGCCGCCTGCATGTCACACTCGGCGGCGGGGGCGGCGGCGTCAGCCTCGGGAGACTTCTTGGCTGTCGTGCTGGAGCTCGCCCGCTCCCTGCTGTAAGAGGTGACTGTGGGCGAAGGGACAGAGTCCCGCACTGCAGCCGCCAGCGTGGTCATCGTATCCACAACAACTGCAACAGAAAACAGGGCAAGGTGAGTGAAATTGGAACTGGGTTCCTAAATGCTTATGGCCCTTTTTGGAATATAGTAACTTGTAGGCTGTGGCTGAGCACTCTGGCATGGCCCTCTTCCACAGTGTCTACTTAAACAAGAGTATTCCTTCCTTCATTTTTCAGGGCAGATCCTGGGGAGGGGCTTTGGGGGCTCAAGCCGCTAGCCGGAAAAATATGCCACCCCGTAAAGCCCTGAATCACAGTGCCACTGCACCATAAACATCCCAATAACTGTAAAAAAAATATAAGAGGAAGGGAGAGAGAGGAAGTTGTCTACAATTTTAACTGAAGACACCAGTCAATCATACATTTTGGTGCCCCAGGTAGGTGGAAAACATGCCGCCCTCATTCCCCAACCATTGGCTTTTGGTGCCTGGTGGCAGAAAGTTCTAGATCTGCCCCTGTCATCTTTAGACTTTAACCTTAATACTTCTAGTATTACTGTCATCAGCTAATCATAAACTATTATATATCAATGCTTCATAAATCATAAAAAACATAAATGCATCATTATTTAGTTAAAAGTGTGCCATGTTTGTACAGCCTCAATGAAGTTACGTGAAGGTCAATAATTTTTGAGGGACTTTAAATAAATTGTATAGGTGGGGCTGAGCAGACCATAAAAATGATAAATTACCTACACATTAACTTACCGGGCTTCTTCTTTTTACCCATTCTCAGATCCACAATCAATGCAACAGTGTGCGGTTCAAGAGGGTCTTCGACAAAAATGATCAAGGCCGTATATACTATATAGAGGAATTATAACGAACGGAAAGGGACGGTATGGCTCAGTAAACTTAAATCAACACAGGAAATGGCCAACAGATCAACCAGAGATCAACAAATTGAAATGGCCTTGGTAATCATAGAAATAAAGACATGGCCCTCATGTCTTTATATCTATGTTGGTAATCAACACGTCTTGGAAATGCTGTTCAATAACTACTACAGCATTAAAGCAGTACTGCTCACGCAGCATTTGACAAAGAAAAAGGATTGTATAAGCAAAGGTTAGCGTCTTTATTACTACACCTATTTTAGAATTATAGTATTTCTGCCGGTTTATAATTTCTTTGGACATGTTTCTGTACAATCAAAGTGTTGAGCTATAGTAACTAATTTGCGATAGCCGTCAAAAGCCGATTATTGAACATTAAAAAGGTAGGTTGGTTGGTATTGGGTTAAGCACCACATCCAGTGGACCAAGGTGCTAACCGGAACTCTCACGCTGTTCCAAGCGGTCAGGTAGGAAACATTAAAAATCACAGGTGATGTACGCTAGATATGTCACTTGTGCGCTGACATCGCTATCATTTAGTTGTGCTGCCAAATGAAGTAAAGCCAAGATTGCTTTACTGTAAAGCCAACACTGAAGAAATTTAGTCATAAAGTAGGTAATATTCGATTTAGGCAGTGCTTTCCGCGATAACTAATTTTCGGACCTGCGATAACGATAAAACGATAAGAAAGGTTCGCGATAACGATAAACGATAAACGATAAAAAAAAATTCAAAAAATTAACAGCGATAGCGATAAAACGATAAAACGCCATAACAAAAATTGTTTTTAACAGTGGTGACGAAACGATACACGATAAAACGATAACGATAATTGTATTAAACACCTCCACTGTGAAAATACGCCAATTGGCAAAATACGTAATGCGTTGTAGGCGCGCCGTAATTATGACAAGTAATTCTTAATCCTATTAATATCGGTATCAGGCTTGTTTGTAGGTAAGTTGTAGCTTGTGTAATGTAGTTTGAAATCTCCAAAATTTAAATATTTTATGATTACGAGCGAGCGAGCGCAGCGAGCGAAGTGAGTCTTTTCAATATAACGGAAAAATCTCAGTATGAGCCAGCGGCGTATTTAGAAAATCGCGAAGGGGGGGGCCAAGGGTTTGGAGGGCGCCACCTCACCCAAAGAGGGCGCCATACGGTCGCGAGATAAAAAATCGCTCAGCGGGGTGTGTGGGGGGGGGGGGGGGGTGGGAGGCGTTTTTTACCATGCCACCAGTTTTTTTTTGCGTAACCTCGTATAGGTCGTGCTGCATTGATTTTGCATCGTGTGTATTCTTTATACTCCAGGTCACAAAAGGTCAAGTGTTCTTGAAATGCTGCGCCGAAGGCGCGCGAAATTTTTGAAAACAACCTTTTCCTCCGCTTTTTAGGCACGCCTTTTATACGATCACCGTTCAAAGCTCCTCTCGCTCTTTTACCAAATTTGAAGGTGTAAAAAATACCTAAGGTTTGGTCGGGCCGCTGCCACACAAACTGTATAGAAAGCTTGGCTCATGGGTGTCGATGTATAAAAGTTTATTGGCGGTGGCATATCTACGCACCAGATCACCGTATCGGATTGATACCGGAGCGCGAGATGCGTAAACATCATCCAAATTACATCAGACCAGCCTTCATAGCCTTCTCACAGATGCATACAGTGTACCCACATAACCAGTTTCAATCACCGAAACTTCAGATGCCTGCTGTTGCGGCCGAACCTGTTGACAATACTTAATCGTAATCCATATAGATGCCATGATGCACGTAAAGTAGGATCAATCCGTTAAGACCAAAGACGTGTTTTATGCATCGTAGAGCGTAGATAGTTTTGGTAGGTATAGGTACTTCATTCATTGTGCTGAATGCACGTTCATTTGTGGCAGTTTTCACAGGCAAGACATCAACTATGTGCAATAGAACGACTAAGTTGAAAAACATGCCAAAGGAGTAAATAAATGATAAGAGGGCAGCGATCAACGGATGTTGCCAATAGGTAGAAGGGCTGCGATCCACAGGAGGGCGCTAATAGGTAGGAGAGCCCCGATCAACATCCCGAGTTTCGATAGTAGGGCACCGATAGGTAGGAAGTTGGCGAGCAGCAGGAGGGCGCCAATGGATAGAAGGGCAGCGATCAACAGGAGGGCACCAATAGGTAGGAGGGCCCCGATCAACAATCAACAGGAGGGCGCCACCAGGTAAGAGGGTGGCGAGGAACAGGAGAGCACCAATAGGAGGGTGGCGATCAACAAGAGGTCGCCAATAGGTGGGAGGGCGGTCATCAACTGGGAGTCGTTAATGAGCGGAAGGGTGACGATTAAAATGGGGGTGGCAATGGTGAGGAGGACGCCTTTGCTCAAGAGGATGACACGAACAGGAGGGCGTCTGTGCGGAGGGCGCTGGTCAACAGGAAGGTACCAGTGGATAGGAGGGCGGTGATCAACAGGAGGGTGCCAGTGGTTAGGAGGGCGGCGATCAACACGAGGGCGCCAATAAGAGAAGGGCCCCGATTAACATTCAACAGGAAGGACTAGGGAACCAATAGGTAGGAGGGCGGCACTGAACAATAGGGTGCCAAAAAGGAGAAAGGCGGCCTTGAAAATTTCACATGAGGGCGCAATAGGTAGGAGAGCGCCAATAATTATGAGGACGCCGATCAGCAGAAGGGCGGCAATATGTAGCAGGGTGGCGACCTACAGGAGGGCGCCTTCGGGTGAGAGGGCGCTTATTTACGGGACAGCGGCTTACATAGGCGACCACCGTTACGCTTAGAGAGCTACAGCCTACAAATGTGGTTGGAGGGCGCCCGAGGGAGCCCTCCAACCGTATTTGGAGGGCGTATTTGGAATGGGCGTCCTCCGAAGGCGCCCTCCATCCGTATTTTCCCTGTAAACACATTCGCGATTGGAGGGCGCCCTCCAGTCGCGATTGTTTTTCGATTCGATTATATCACAATTGCATTTGCGATTGGAGGGCGCCTTCGGCGCCCTCCAATCGCAAAGGGCGCCTTCGGCGCCCAAGGGGGGGGGCCATGGCCCAGTGGCCCCCCCCCTGCCTACGCCCCTGGTATGAGCGGCCCGGCCCGGCCCGGCCCGGCCTGTAACGCTTTTGAGAGGCTTATATCTCAGCAACCGCTGGACCGATTGGCCTGCGGTCTTTTTTGTTGGGTAGCCCCATCCCTTCTACCCCGTAATTGACTACTTTTGATACATCTCAGTGACCGTCGTGGCACGTGCCACGTGAAAAGTCAAGGGTGTTCAAGCTGTTTTGCAAAAGTAGTGATTTTGAGAGGCTTATATCTCAGCAGCCGCTTGGGCGATTGACTTGCGGTAATTTTTGTAGGGTAGCAGCATCCCTTCTACCCAAAATAGGATACTCTCGATGTATGTGGGTCACCCCCCGTGCACGTGCAAAATACAACAATAAGAGGTGCCAAATTTGTTCCCATTTCAGTAACTCGGTAATTACTGGGGCGATTTCGCTGAAACTTGACGTCTGTCAAGACAGCCTCAGATTCAGATTCACTTTCAGAATCACATTCGGACCCCCTTAGATTTTCATAAAAACTGGTCCATAGGTACAGTTTTGGACGCTGATTCCAATGGTGAAGTCTGTTTTTCGCCACATATTATACTTTGGCCCCTAGAGGCATTCAAAGTTTTTTGGGGCGAAGGGGGACCCCCTTAGATTTTCATAAAAACTGGTCCATGTGTACAGTTTTGGACGCTGATTCCAACGGTGAAGTCTGTTTTTCGCCACATATTATACTTTGGCCCCTAGAGGCATTCAAAGTTTTTTGGGAGAAGGGGGACCCCCTTGGATTTTCATAAAAACTGGTCCATGTGTACAGTTTTGGACGCTGATTCCAATGGTGAAGTCTGTTTTTCGCCACATATTATACTTTGGCCCCTAAAGGCATTCAAAGTTTTTTGGGGCGAAGGGGGACCCCCTTAGATTTTCATAAAAACTGGTCCATGGGTACAGTTTTGGACGCTGATTCCAATGGTGAGGTCTGTTTTTCGCCACATATTATACTTTGGCCCCTAGAGACATTTAAAGTTTTTTTTGGGGCGAAGGGGGACCCCCTTAGATTTTCATGAAAACTGGTCCATGTGTACAGTTTTGGACGCTGATTCCAACGGTGAAGTCTGTTTTTCGCCACATATTATACTTTGGCCCCTAGAGGCATTCAAAGTTTTTTTGGGGGAAGGGGGACCCCCTTAGATTTTCATAAAAACTGGTCCATGTGTACAGTTTTGGACGCTGATTCCCATGGTGAAGTCTGTTTTTCGCCACATATTATACTTTGGCCCCTAGGGCATTCAGATTCACTTTCAGAATCACATTCGGACCCCCTTAGATTTTCATAAAAACTGGTCCATGTGTACAGTTTTGGACGCTGATTCCCATGGTGAAGTCTGTTTTTCGCCACATATTATACTTTGGCCCCTAGGGCATTCAGATTCACTTTCAGAATCACATTCGGACCCCCTTAGATTTTCATAAAAACTGGTCCATGGGTACAGTTTTGCACGCTGATTCCAATGGTGAAGTCTGTTTTTCGCCACATATTATACTTTTGCCCCTAGAGGCATTCAAAGTTTTTTTTGGGAGAAGGGGGACCCCTTAGATTTTCATAAAAACTGGTCTATGTGTACAGTTTTGGACGCTGATTCCAACGGTGAAGTCTGTTTTTCGCCACATATTATACTTTGGCCCCTAGAGGCATTCAAAGTTTTTTGGGAGAAGGGGGACCCCCTTGGATTTTCATAAAAACTGGTCCATGTGTACAGTTTTGGACGCTGATTCCAATGGTGAAGTCTTTTTTTCGCCACATATTATACTTTGGCCCCTAGAGGCATTCAAAGTTTTTTGGGGCGAAGGGGGACCCCCTTAGATTTTCATAAAAACTGGTCCATGGGTACAGTTTTGGACGCTGATTCCAATGGTGAAGTCTGTTTTTCGCCACATATTATACTTTGGCCCCTAGAGACATTTAAAGTTTTTTGGGGGCGAAGGGGGACCCCCTTAGATTTTCATGAAAACTGGTCCATGTGTACAGTTTTGGACGCTGATTCTAACGGTGAAGTCTGTTTTTCGCCACATATTATACTTTGGCCCCTAGAGGCATTCAAAGTTTTTTTGGGGGAAGGGGGACCCCCTTAGA